AGTGGCAACTTGTAAATACACTGCACGTTTAACAATAGGCGTAGCAATAACATTGGGATCCGCAAGACGAGCCTGATGACCAACCTTACACCAGCAACTGCGTCCACACTCATGATAAGATCGAAAGTCAACAACAAAGAAAACACCTGCTTTGGTAATGCTGACGATGATACGAAGTCTTTGCTGAGGAACGCCGATTGAGGGTTGGGGGTGTGAAGTTCCCTTGCGACTGTGAATGATCTGACGCTGCAGAGACTTGGCTCCTTGCACTCGCCTCCTCATCGTCTGAACCTTCGGATGCCGATGCCTGCCACGCAACAGCTCAAAGGGGAAGCTTTTGTTCAGCTGCCGAAACAGGAGTTTAGCCGTCGGGTTCTGGGAACAGCCTATCCCGCACGAGCCACACTACTCATGGACATGACGGTGCAGTCATGAGATCAGCCTGTTATTTTAAAAGTGCATATAGGCTTGAAAAAAGCATAGGTCTTCAAAAAAACTTGAGCATCTCCAAACCCCTAAGCCGAAGGCCTCAGCCCGCGACCTGGGATTCCATTTCTGCGAGTCAGAGGGCAATTTGAATCCAGCCTTTGCTAATACTTACCTTTTACATCTTTCAGCCCCGACCACTTTTCAAACTTTTTCCGGCTTTGAAATTCTTCTTTCAGCCGAATCAAGGTTAATATTGATGAAGCTCAAAAAGGGGGCCCCCGGTGGTTTTTCAACGGTGGCCTCATGGAAGCACACGCCAGCGCGGAGCCCGTCAATCTCCCACAGCGCTGAAGTTTCCGACTCCATGGCTCTGGGACAGGATTCGGATTCCAGGGTTTAGGTTTTGGGAGTTTCCGAAAAGTTAGGGGTAGTACCTTACTTTTGGGGCCCTTGTAATAAGGATCCTACTATTTAGGGTACTTTCTTAGCCCTATTTTTGGGAAACTTCCATTTTAGGGTTCAAGCTTTAGGGCTTTCGGGTTCGGGGTTTTAGGGTTTAGGGTTCAATTAGGGTTCGTCACAAGGCTTCAGGGACCAACTTCACCCATGTGGAGGGCATGGCTTATTAGCTTTGGTTTAGGACTTGAGGCGCAGATTGCATCAGCCTTACACCGTCATGCCGGGCGAATTGGAGAACTCCGCTGTAACTCGTTCGCATTATCTCGGGCTCTAAATCGGAACCTAAACCACCAAACCCAAAGCCTCTCCACGGCTCTCCGAGAGCTTCGACTCTTGATGGCATGTGCTGTGTGGGGGGGGGGGTCCACCGAGGTAGAGCAGAAAGCAGCTGCAGGAAAAGGCTTCGGTTTTTTTTTTTTTTAAAGGCTTCGGGTTTAGGGTTTAGGGAAACTCTAAGGGTTTAGGGGTTCGGGCCTAAGGGTGCAGGGCTTAGGGACACTGGTAAGGGGTAATCTGAGGAATACCAGAAGAATAGGGAAGCAATTAAGTATCAAATCTAGAGACGACCTACCCCTCAAACCCCCAACTCATGCAGCACAGACCCTAAACCCTAAACCTTAAACCGTAAACCCTATATACCCTGAACCAGTAGGGCATGGAGGCCTATGCAATCTACCCCTCGGCAAAGTGAACGTCTGAACCTTGCGCCCCAAGAGCCGGATATAGGCCATTCTACGTAACTTCCATGTTGCAGAGCATGGAGGAGGTGGTCCCTTGACGGAGCGTTCGGAAGACGTTCAGGGCAGTAAGGTGTTGACGGTTTAGCGTCAGTCCACCAATTAGGGACATGACATGTGGGGTATAAGAGGTACGAGTAATTGCTTGCCAAACTTACGATCGATTCAGTGCTTGCGGAGATGAAAGCTGCACTTCTCGCACATCGGCCAAAAATTTGCGAGGTACAGACATGGAGACTGGTTCTATCCAAAACGCGATGCAGGACAGCAATGTAGAGGCCTTCATGATTAGAATAGGGTTTTGGGGGCTCCTTTTCATAAAAAAGTATAAGATCCCCCAAACTCTATTCTAATTGCTAAGGCCCCTCTATTAGGTTTCGAAGCAGAAGGAAGCATTGCTTGAAGGCTGAGGTCTTCTTTGGCCGAATCCCTGTCGAAGTGGGCCGCTGCTGGGAACTACGAGTTCGGTGGCTGAAGGTGCGGTTTCTATGCCCCCCCTTGGAACCATAATAAAGATAATAGTCTTAATATTCTCTTGGGTTTTATATTATGAACAAAAGTAAAGCGTAATTCCGAAGGAGACAAAAGGTTTAGGGTTCAGGGATTTTAGAGCTTCAGGGCTTTAGATACCGCTGAAAAGCTTAGAAGCTTCTAGGATGTGCTGTGAAGGCGATAGGACTGCAGGAAGATGTGTTTCGCCGGACCCAAACCCTCAGCCCCGGAAACCTTCACTAGCCCCACAAAAATGAATGGACCGTGGCAGCAATATCGAAGTAGCCACAGCAGCAAAGGCACCGTTTAACATGCTCCACAAGCTTTTGGAGTGCTGAAAAGTTCCCCACACTGCAAGCAGCCTGCTTCTACCGATTTCTCCTGGAGACTGCGAGTTTAGCTGCCCAAGCGCAGGATCTCTTATCATTGCAAAGCATCAGCTTTGTCTTTGGCCTGTCTTCGAGGTTCAGCCTTGTCACAGCAGATACTGCATGAAATACGATCAACCAGTACTAGTACTAGTACTAGTACTAGTACTAGTACTAGTACTAGTACTACTACTACTACTACTGCAGGCACTACCATGACCAGTACCGCTACCACTATCACGACCACCACCACCACCACCACCAGCAGCACCAGCAGCACCAGCACCAGCACCAGCACCAGCACCAGCACCAGCACCAGCACCAGCACCAGCAGCAGCACCAGCAGCACCAGCAGCACCAGCAGCACCAGCAGCACCAGCAGCACCAGCAGCACCAGCAGCACCAGCAGCACCAGCAGCACCAGCAGCACCAGCAGCAGCAGCAGCAGCAGCAGCAGCAGCAGCAGCACCACCACAAAAACTACCACCACCGCGACCACGACTGCTTCCGCTACCGCGAACCACTACGACCACGACCACGACCGCTACTGCGACTACTACTGCTTCAAAATAATACTGCCACTGCTACTGCTGCCAAAGCTACTGCAAATTACCACCACGGCTGCTTCCACCACCGCCACTACCACTACCACTGCTTCCAACTGGGAGCAAGAAACGACACGCTCAAACATCATAGTGACATGCCGCTGTCGTAAACCTAGCGGACCTAGCGAGTGCTCTCAACCCTGTGGAAGACAGTCCGAAAGTAGCGTCGGTGAAACGTGGCGTGAGAGCCCAGATATGTTGTATCGGTTTATCTAAGACCTGGTGGGGGACTGGGGGTGCTTTCTTGTCGAATTTTTCTGGTCATGATTTTCTAAGACTCCCAAACCGAGCTGCTTGTGGTTTCGGGGTGTTAGGGCTCAGGTCGTACTGTAAGCCGCTACTTCCAGCCTGCAACCCAACCCCGGCTAAATTCCTCGCGCTGCAGACTTTGGGCTTGGGCCTTTACAAGGGTCAAAGTCGCTGTCCATTTGGGGGTAAGGGTTCAGCCTGGCCTCTGCTTCAGGTTTTTGGGCAGCGCTTGAGGGCCCAATTATGGGGTTTAGGGTAGCAGCTCTTTCAAGACATTCCGACACTGTTCAATAACATTTTATTACTTTGTTGCCATTCCCATACTGCAGTTAATGACCGTACTCACAAATCTATAGATAAACCAAATGCCCACTGGGTCACTGGGGTTCCTCCCCGCAAAAGACCGGGATTCAATTTGGAATGACTTAGCAAGGGTTCCATTTAAACCTCAGCAGGCTCCGCCTAATTGACACCCTAGGAGATCCCGGCTAAGAAAGCGTGAACTGACGAAGACCCTGAACCTGACGGTTCTGGGAAAAGCAGTGCTAGGAAGTCGGGCGATAATGCTGAAAAAGGGTTTCCCATGGTCTTAGGGGCTGAGTACCCTCGTCCAAAACAGCTTAACCTTGCAATTATGGTAGGCTTATTTAAATTAAGCACCAAAAGGTCAGACGTGCACGGTTTCGAAATTTTGATTGCTGGGCCATCAAAGTTTGAGTTCTGGAAAGATGAACATTCGCAACACTAAGCCCGAATACTATGGCACGTCGTGTATGGTATAATACAATATAGTCGGCTATAGAAGAATATGGTCGATCTAAACAGACTATGTTGGATTATAGCATCATATTGTAGACTTTTGTATTTTGATGTGTTACGTTATGGTATAACGTATTAGGTTGTTATAGCTTAGTATCGTATCTAAGCAGTAGATCCACATATCGGGGTCCTCAAGAACTTCCGGTAGCATCCGGCCTGAGCAATGGCCAGCAGGCCGAAGTCCTGCAAGAAGAGGCGGCCCGTAAGTAGGTAGTAAGTAAGACTTATAAGTACCATAACCCCAATTAGGGTCCCTTTTAGGGTACTTATAAGTCTACCTACTACCTACTTACTAAGTCCCCCGAAACTCCAAGTACTCTCTACCCCCTGATTAAGAAACCCTTGGGCCGTTTTGTAGGGATCTTTGAAAGGGGTCTATAAGGGTAACTAACTATAAGGGATCTATAAGGGAACTATAATACTGTAGGAACCCGATTAAGAAACTTTGGGCCTTTATTGGGGTTCCTTGTATGAATCCTACTATTTTTCAGATTATATGCTTCGGTCCTACCTCCGTAATTTCCAAAAAATATGCTAGAATCAAGCATATACTCTACTATATGCTAGACTATCACACATGCGAAACTATACCATTCGTATACATTCAGCGCCGTGGGTGGGTGGGTGACGGGTGGGTGGGTGGGCGGGGGTACGAGGCTGGCGGCCCTCTACGAGCAAGTCTTAACGAAGGCCTTGGCTGCAACAGTCTACCCCTAAGAGCTAACCCGTTAACCCTAAGACACCCACACCTGTCGGTTCAGTCATGAGTCACGAGCCCCTCACAAACCTTGCGTTGTCTCTTCTCGTACCCTCCGGGGCCTGCCTTTCATGAGACTTGTTCATCAGAACAGGTCCATGACAAAGTCCCCCACGTCCTGTGCGACGCTAACCCTGAACCTGGAGTTCAATAGTATTCCCCAAAAGTACTATGCATAGGACTAGAGAACAATACGACCCAAAACCCCGTTTTCATCATCCAGGGACCTTATGTTGTGTTCTGATTCCTCAACCATGTTTTTTGGGATTTCAGCCTTTGCAATGTCATTGACGCATGACTGGCAGCCCAACTGCCCGGAATTCATGGCTTCCAAGCGCTGGTGTTGAGGGGTTCTAGATTCAGGGTCCAAGTTGGAGGACTGCGCTTCCTTCGAACATGCAGTTCCGAATCCTAAACCCTAAACCCTAAACCGCAAAGCACCCCCGGCCCCTGAACCCGCCTCAGACTGGTAGGCCTCAAAACCTTAAGTTTCCGGATTCTCGATCATGAAGTGGGAGTTTCCGAAAATTAAGGGGTACCTTATTTTGGGGGTCCTTATAAGAAGGATCCTTCTATTTAGGGTACTATATTCGGGTCCCCTTATTTTTGGAAACTCCCATGTCACAGGCAAGGGAGAACCAGTCCACGCGCGATGTCGCTACTAGTCACGGATGCCGATAAGGAAGCGAGATAAGGAAGCGAGATCCTCAACGCTAAAGCCTGTCCAGACTTCTTATACTTCCCCCCAAAGCCACAGAACTAAAGGTTAAACTTTCCGGTTACTACTAAACTATAAGAAACCCCAAAAAAGTTAAGGCTGGCTATTGGGGACGCAAGCGGAATTTGAGCTCCCCAGCCTCAGCAGCACCACCGATCCACTCCTGGCCAACTTGACGCTCAGTGCGGAGTCTGCTAGTTGGGCATAGGGTTCGCTTAATATGACTTCTTTGTAAAAGTCCTGAAAAGGTCGGTTATTTGGGGTTAAGGAGGTTGGGTTTCGGCCTTAAGGTGTTGGGTTGAGGGTTTCAGGTTTCAGGCTATTGGCGAAATTGCCCGTGCCTAGTGGTTGATATCACTTGGACAGCTCGTCTGATGCAAGCCGTAAACCCACGATTCATCCTGCGTCTTGTGCCCGCAAGGTATTGCAGATCTTTCTTGGGCTTCAAAGTTCCTAGTTGAGATCAGTGAGTGGGGGTTTCGGTGACAAGACTCTTGTCACAGTGGCGAGGAGTGGTGGACAGAGGAGTCATGTATATAAGGGCCATGTAGCTAACAGGAGGAAGGAAAACACTCACACGCAATGAAGCTCCCAGCATCAGTTCCGATTTGAAAATCCGGAGCCCATGACTTCAGAACTGTTCTGCCACAAGCACATCTGCATCTACGGCTTGAATTTGCCAATGCTTTCGGCTCCGAAAGACCCTAAACCCTAAATCCTAAACCTTAAACTCGCTAAACCCTAAGCCTTGATAATAGGAGCCGCAGGAGCAACGAACAAATTTGGCCGAGCTGCGCCAGCGTCCGTGGCGATGTCTCCTACAGCATCCTCGGTGCAGAGACAGAGAGAATGCAGGGAGAGCTCCTTTTAGGGTTTAGGGTTTATGGTTCCTGCAGTTCCTGTAAGGGCACCTTTAAGAGGAAACTAGCTCTGGACACAGACACCTGAAGAGCACAAGACTACAGCTTTCATCAAAAAGCATCTTGATCTGCGACATCTTCGGAGCGCTTGAAGCCACACTCCCTGCACACCCCAAAATTCCCTACAGCTACCATCCCGATTCAGAAAGACGAAACCACTAAGACCCCAAAAGCTGCAACCCGAAACTTGGGTTGCTAGGAACCTGGAACTTGAAACCCCAAAGCCAACCAGGGGTTCACCTTGCGAATGCGAGGAGAAATCTTGGTTTCCGAAACTAGGGGACCCTAAATAGTCGGATCCTTATTATAAGGACCCCCAAAATACGGTACCTGCGGAAACTCCCAACTGAATTAAGCAACAAACCCCCTGCGGTCCCATAAGGCAAGTACACTTAAGGGCAGGAGCCGACATCTGAGCTTAAGCTTCTGGCGGCCATGCCGATAAGGATACCAGGAAGCATATCTAAGAACAAAGGCCAATATGAGCTGGAGTTGTTGTTAAGGCTAGGATGCCCCATAACCTAGGAATAAAAAGGGCTCCGTTTTTGGTATTGGATACCTTTACCAGGAACCTAGGACTACAAATAAGGGAATAAGGGTACTACTGGGCATCCTAGAAGGTGATTTATCCCCATAAGCCTGATCCCTGGCACCTACAACCGGCAACTTGGGCATTCCCAGTGCAGATGCCGCAACAAAGCCTAGACCTAAGAGTAACCTAGTAATAAAAAGGGTGCCCTTTTTGGTTTAAAGGGGGTTATAAGGGAACCTGAACCCTAAAAAAGGGAATAAGGGCTTACTCTGGGTCCTAGAAGCTGTATCAGGGGGCCGTGGAGAAGAGTTCCAGAGTACGCTGACGCTCAGCCCCAAACCGAAAACGCCCGCTAAATCTTAAGCCTATAAACCCAAAACCGCTAACCCCTAAACCTCAAAACCTAAACCCCTAAACCTAAACCCCAACCCTAAGCCCTGAGCCCTAACCACCCCAGAACTCGAAACAAAGCTTCAACCCTCCCCTCCGCCCCTTCTGCAAAGCTACACCCAGGCCCTCGAGGCCATCTCCGTCAGCCAACAGCCTGAGATCAAAGGTTTGAAGGATTGACGGTGGTTCTTGATTGTTTGTTTATCTTATTGAGCTCCTTTTCTTGATTTTTGTTTAGGGTATAGGGTTTAGGGCACTGCTGTGGATATCTTTCAGTGCTTTCGCCGTGTTGCATTGCGGGACTTGATTTCAAGTTTTCCTTCATGCGCGTGCTTGCTGTCCTGTGGATGGCTTCCTGAAGATGTCAGGGCTCTGTTTATTAGGGTCCAGTGAGGAGTTGCAGTTTGGTCAAGACGAGCTCGGACCAATTTTCTTGACATGATACTGGCAAACAAGTAATGGGAACGAATTCATGCTGTTGTCTTGTCGCCATCGCAGCAAACTTTAGAGACTTGCATCCGCAATAAATGTCCAGGTGAAGCACGGAATGTTTAAGCGAAGGTCGGCTGGGAGGGCAAGGGTAATTAAGGGTACGATGCGAGCTTAGGGTTTTATTTTGGGTCTAGGTTTTCGCATTCAAGGTCTAAGGTTTAGCGCTGCAGTTGAAGATTTGTGGTTTCATGGTTTAGGGTTGGGATGCGGGCTTTGTTCAAGATGCGTTGAACGACCCACGGGCCCATGACATTACCAGTGTTTCTTTCAGTTTCAAACGTTTGTTGTGTGAGGCCCATCATCCGAGACGACGCGAAGGGGTTGAGGATTGAGGAAACCTTCGATCCTCAAACAAAATCTTGCCAAGCTCGAACCAGCAGCGCACCAGCGACGCAAAGCCCTGCGACGCCCGCCACGGCTGCCACACCTGGGTCGGGACAAATGTCTAAAGCTGTTAACTTGTCATCTCAAGTGTCCTTATAGTACTCGTACCATACAGGCAGTATGAGCAATTATCAAGAACACGGCCAGGACCACAACCGCCACAACTACGACACCAGCCACGTCGACGACGACACGGTCAACAACAACGAAAATGCGAACAGCAAATGACAACGACAATTCTTGTTGTTCTCTGCTGTTTCATCCTTCCATTGCCTGACTATTATCCATACTGCTGCAAACCCCTTTTTCCTGAAGCCACGTAGTAATACTTCAAGAATAAGGTGCGATCGCCGCGCCTCAAGAGCCCAAAACCCTGGGTAAGCCCCAAGCCCATCACCCTGAAAGGACCGTAAATACAAAAACCCTGCACACCTTGAAGCCCCATGTACAGCGCCTATACAGCATCAACCTCGACATATAACATATTATATATATATATATATATATATGTAGTTTATATAATCCCCTAAAACCCAAGCCCTCCATGAAGCCCTATAAGCCCTAACTTTGAAAACCCCTTAGAAAAAAGCCTCAAACCTGAAAAACTCTGGACCCAAAAGCTCTCAACCTTAAACCCTAAACCCTAAACCCTAAACCCTAAACCCTAAACCCTAAACCGCAAATCCGAAAACTTCAGGCTTTCTGCGAGGTTTTTGAGACCCGGCCTCCAACGCCAGCAGCCACCTTGGCTCCAGTGCTCCAGCCCCTGGCGGTTTTGGGCTTTAGGGTTTCGGATTTTTTGGGGGGGGGCTTAGGCTAGAAGGATTTAAAGCTCAGCGCTGGGGGGGCTCAGAGGCTTAGTAGAGTCTAGCTTAGAGGTTCAGAGATCAAAGGTTTCTAGGACCAAAGATGCGGCTTAGGATTTCAGGATGTCGCGGACGCCCAAAACCCTGAACCTCAAACTCCTTCCCACAAAAACCCCCAAGTTCCCTGCCCTGAAAGCCTAAATCCCAAAACCCGAGACCCCCCCAAACCCTAAACAACCCCTAAGCTCCCAAACCCTGAACGCTAAACCCCTAAGCCCCTCCGCTAAACCCTAAACCCCTAAACCTAATCAAACTCCTAAACTCCTAAACCTCCAAACCCTAAACTCCCAACTCCTAAACTCCCAAACCCTAAACTCCCAAACCCTAAACTCCCAAACCCTAAACTCCCAAACCCTGAACTCCCAAACCCTAAACTCCCAAACCCTGAACTCCCAAACCCTGAACTCCCAAACCCTAAACTCCCAAACCCTAAACTCCCAAACCCTAAACTCCCAAACCCTAAACTCCCAAACCCTAAACCTCCAAACTCTAAACTCCCAAACCCTGAACTCCCTAAACTCCTAAACTCCCAAACCCTAAACTCCCAAACCCTAAACTCCCAAACCCTAAACTCCCAAACCCTGAACTCCCAAACCCTAAACTCCCAAACCCTGAACTCCCAAACCCTGAACTCCCAAACCCTAAACTCCCAAACCCTAAACTCCCAAACCCTAAACTCCCAAACCCTAAACTCCCAAACCCTAAACCTCCAAACTCTAAACTCCCAAACCCTGAGCTCCCTAAACTCCTAAACTCCCAAACCCTAAACTCCCAAACCCTAAACTCCCAAACCCTAAACTCCCAAACCCTAAACTCCCAAACCCTAAACTCCCAAACCCTAAACCTCCAAACTCTAAACTCCCAAACCCTGAACTCCCTAAACTCCTAAACTCCCAAACCCTAAACTCCCAAACCCTAAACTCCCAAACCCTAAACTCCCAAACCCTAAACTCCCAAACCCTCTCCCAAACCCTAAACTCCCAAACCCTAAACTCCCAAACCCTAAACTCCCAAACCCTAAACTCCCAAACCCTAAACTCCCAAACCCTAAACTCCCAAACCCTAAACCTCCAAACTCTAAACTCCCAAACCCTGAACTCCCTAAACTCCTAAACTCCCAAACCCTAAACTCCCAAACCCTAAACTCCCAAACCCTAAACTCCCAAACCCTACCCTGAACTCCCAAACCCTAAACTCCCAAACCCTAAACTCCCAAACCCTAAACCTCCAAACTCTAAACTCCCAAACCCTGAACTCCCTAAACTCCTAAACTCCCAAACCCTAAACTCCCAAACCCTAAACTCCCAAACCCTAAACTCCCAAACCCTGAACTCCCAAACCCTAAACTCCCAAACCCTGAACTCCCAAACCCTGAACTCCCAAACCCTAAACTCCCAAACCCTAAACTCCCAAACCCTAAACTCCCAAACCCTAAACTCCCAAACCCTAAACCTCCAAACTCTAAACTCCCAAACCCTGAACTCCCTAAACTCCTAAACTCCCAAACCCTAAACTCCCAAACCCTAAACTCCCAAACCCTAAACTCCCAAACCCTGAACTCCCAAACCCTAAACTCCCAAACCCTGAACTCCCAAACCCTGAACTCCCAAACCCTAAACTCCCAAACCCTAAACTCCCAAACCCTAAACTCCCAAACCCTAAACTCCCAAACCCTAAACTCCCAAACCCTAAACTCCCAAACCCTAAACTCCCAAACTCCTAAACTCCCTAAACTCCTAAACTCCCAAACCCTAAACTCCCAAACCCTAAACTCCCAAACCCTAAACTCCCAAACCCTAAACCCCTAAACTCCTGAACTCCCAAACCCTAAACCAGACCCCCCCATCGAGGGCTCCGGGCTTCGGCTTCGCCGCGGGGTCTGCTCCCGGGTCCGCCGGTGCCGCCGGGTCCGCGGGAGCTGGGTCGGTGCCTGCACACTATGGTACTTTAAAGGTGTATATATATATATATATAAGGATTAGGCTGTAAAATAACAGACTCGCAAAAATAGCACCTTAAGGGTTTCAAGATTAGGCCGCAATATAATACACCAGCAATAATAAATAATAAATAGTATTTTAAGGGTTTAAGGATTAGGGGTTTAGGGTTTTGGAGATTAAGGTTTAAGGATTAGGGATGATTAGGGCATATTGTATAAGGGTTGTAGTGCTTTAATAAGGGTATAAGGATTTTAGGGCCTTTATGGGGTTCAGGGTTTATAGGGTTTAAAGGGTTTCGAGATATTCTAGGGTTTAGGCTTTATAGGGTTTAGGGTTTGGGGTTTAAGGACTCTAAAGCATAATATAATAAGGGTTCTAGAGGCCTGTAGTAGGGATTGAAGAGTCCTTACACCCTGCCCTTCCAAAAAAGGTGATTTACCCAAGCCTCCTCCGGCAGGGGCAGGGGCGGGCTTCTTTCCTCACAAAAGGCAGCAGTAGCCCTAACCAGCGCCCTGCTCATGGCCTACTTGGAGGTTCATGGTTAGTTTTGAGAGAGTTCTAACTAGGTCAACTAGGTATTAACCAGAGTTATAACCGACATAAAAGGACTCACAAGCAAAGAAAAACATGACATCAGTACAAACAGTTTGAACACAAGGAGCAGTTATACTTTCAGAAAGCTTTTTGGGATTAGGCTTTCGGCTTTCGGCGCTTAGGGTTTTTCAAGGTTTGGCGATCTATAGCTCATGGCGGAAAGAACGAAGAAGATACCTGGCATGCGGGCTGTAGAAAAGAACTTTAAGGGGTTCAGGGTTTAGGGACCAAGCGCCAGGAGCAGAAGAGCACATCATCCTAAACGTCATCTTGAAGTGACAGTTGTCATAATGGTAATCCTGGATCCCATGTCCAAAATTCATTGCCAGGAACAACATTCCAACGCACTAGGACTCGAACTACTAGAAGTCTCGAAAAAACAGCAATATTTTCCGGGATCGTCCCTATATGAGTATAGCATAAGGACCCCTCCCCCCAATCCCTAGCCTAGCCCTGTCAAGCGAGTCTAAAAACCGCAGCAATCCTCTAGCGATCAGTTTTCCGTGGGCTTCGGTCCTGAAGGTTTCTGGGGTTTAGGGTACATCTTGGGTTTAGGGTTTAGGGTTTAGGGTTTAGGGTTTAGGGTTTTAGGCTCAGTGGTTTAGGGTCTTAGGCTGAGGTTTGTGGGGCAGGAAGACTGGGGCGTAGGACCGCAAGCAGAGGCTAGGATGCTACAGCGCTGGAAAAGAACGCCAGAGAACTCCGCCCGTCCTGGACTTCCCTCCAGAAATGATGCGAACTCGTCGTAGGAAATCTGGCCGAAGCGCGCCGAAACAAAAGGCTCAGAGTCTGCAGCTTCAGGTTTAGGGTTTAGGGGTTTCGGGGTTTAGGGTTGAGGGCTTAGGCTGTCGAAGTCGATAGGTTTAGGGTTTATGGGGTTTAAGGTTTAGGGGTTTAGGGTTTTCGAAGTAGAAAGGTTTAAACCATCTGTTGGGCTCAAGGTAAGTGGTTGGTCTTTCCGGTGTAGGATCGTTGTCGGGCTTGGGGTTTTATGGTGCACCAGGTGTCGATTTCAACAGCCCCCGACACTGTTTATAGGTAGAGTTTGAACAATAAGGGACATCAAAAGCCATCCCAAATCGACACCTAGTAAAGAATATGTAAACTTAGACCTTAGAGCACCTATTTAAGGAAACGTTATCCGAAATCGATACCTAGTCCAGGATTGCAAAGTGTAGGGACCGTAAAGTTCGGTCCATGGAGCTCGAGTCTTAAGGAGGAGGCTTGGGGCTTAAGAGGGTTTGAGGGTTTAAGGGCCTTGGGGGTGTTTAGGCTTAGGGGTTTCAGAGGGTTTGAGGGTTTAAGGGGGTTTAGGGTAGAAATGTTTTTCGGGTTTAGGGGGTTTAAGCGGGTTTAGGGGTGTTAAACGGGGTACAGGGTTTTAAGGGTCCAGGAGGATATGGGACTTTCCCAAAATAGGGGACCCCAATATAGCACCCTAAATAGTAGGATCCGTATTAATTATGAGGACCCCAAAATAAGGTACCCCTTGCTCTTGTATGCGCTTTCCCAGCCGTTCTCGACCTCCCCATCTGCACTTGGGTGGTTGTCTAAATGATGGTCCCTTTTGGGGAACACTAAATATTTTGTGCCGTACTATATTAGGGACCCAAAAAGGGACAATAATTTTGACAACCACCCACTTCGGAATGCGAAGCTTCGGAATTGGAGCCGGGCGTGGGATTGCTGGAGCTGAATCCTGAACTCAAGACCGTCATACAGACTAAACCTTGCATAGCCCTCAGAAACATGCTTGAAGCTCCGACAGAGCATTTTGCAAACCACCTGTTGCTGCTTGGAAGAGCCCTGAAGGGCCTTCACCGGAACCAGGAGCCAGAAAGGAGGTACGACTGGGGACCTATCAATGGGAACAGGCTGCCTTGCTTATAACAGATGCTACAACCCTAAACCCTAAACCCTAACGACTTATGGGTTCTACCGTCCGCACAAACCCGAGTTTTTCAAGATCCGAGGCCCGGAAACGCCCAGAAGCTGGCGTTAGTCAAAGTGAACCTGACAACTCTCAACCTCAGTGTTGGGGCTCTGCCTGGTAGTCAGAGTTCTTGTCCGTAGACATGATGAGGTCGTTGATCTCCTGTCGTCTCTCTGCAGCAGATTTCGGAAGCAAGCGATCCGAGGAGGGCGAACGCTCAACTCCAAAGAAACCCTAAACCCAGAACCTTCAACTTCACACTCTGAACCCTATAACCCTAAACCTTAAACTCAAACCCTTTAGCCGTATACCCTAAACCCAGCCAACCCTGAGCCTTCAAACCTTAAACTGAAACCCTTAAGCCGTGTACTCCCTATGTACCCTAAACCCCCCCCAACCCCCCCCACAGACCAAAGCACACAGCAGCATCGCAGCTCATTGCTTCAAGGCACCGCTTTCGTCAGTGCCGGGTTCAATTGAACCTCAGAATCTTTTAGGGGTTTAGGGGTTTAGAGCTCTGGAGCGTTAGGGCTTAGGGCTTTAGGGTTTTAGGGTTTAGGGCTTTAAGGGCTTGGGGGGGTAGTGTTAGGCTATAAGGGGTTAGGGTTAAAGGGTTTTGGGTTTTCAATCTACGGGTTACGGCTTTAGGGTCTACCCTAAGGCTCCATAGCAGTTCCTTTTTGGGGTTCATATATAGAATCCTATAAAGTAATCCCAAACAGGAACTACTATGGAGCCTCTGGGTAGGGTTATGGGTCGAAGAATCGGCTTCAATGGAGTTTGCACGGGGATTTCGCAAAGGGTTTCTGAGCGATTGCCACGGTCTTCAGGGCGTTTTGACAGTTTAGGGCTTTGAGTGTCTTTGTGGTACAGTGCTTCGGGGCCAGGCTTACTGTACTATACTATGTCTAGAATTTAAAGGAGCCTCGAAAAAGTCTTGGTACATAATTATTAATGCCCCTTGAGTAATCGTTTTAAATGCCTCTTCCTGAAACTTTAGTACTTGGGGTGTAGAGCTTCAAGGGTTTGGGGTTTGGGGTTCTGAAGTGTTCGGGGTGCAGAGTTTAGGGCTTCTGCAGCCGCTTGTGTGTCCCTAGCCTAACCCCAAACCCTGCATCCAATCCCTAAACCACAAACCCGTAACCCCAAACCGTAAGTCCTAAGCCCTAGGCTATAAGCCTTACTCCCAAACCCCGTAGAAACGTAATTTTTCAGACGAAGAGCGATCAGCTCGGCCAACTCGGCGAAGCTAATGAAACCTGGCTTCGGGCACCAGCTCGGGTCTTTCATAAGGGCCGGAATTTAGGTTTAGGGTTTATGGTTTAGGATCTTTCAGAAGGGCAGAAATTTGCCTGAATAGTCAGGGGTTTAGGGTTTAGAGATCGGGTCTTTCATAAAGGCCTGAAGGATTAGAATAAGTTATTGTCATTAAGGTTCCTCCAAGGGTTCTCAAAGGATTACATAGGCATATTAGAGGAGTTTCAACATCAGGGCCTTGATCATTATGAAAATTACTTAGGGCGTTGGCGTTGGGGCATATGATAGTCTGAGCATAAAGGGACTACGTATCAGGAACTGGGCGTAGGATGTTACTAGGGGTACAGGGTGTAGGATTTCGTCCCTGGTCCCTTGCAATGGCGGGCTTGGGATGTAGGGCACGGGTCACCGGGTAAGGGGTCGGGGTTTAAGGCTAAGCCATTTGCGGCTTCGGGGTGTTCACGGTGCAAGCCGTTGAAGGCTTCCGGGATTCAGTGGCTGAGGTGCCGGGTGTAGGGTTTCGATGCTGTGGGGTTCGGGGTTCGGGCTCCAGAAGCAGGTGGAAGACTTGTCGTTCTGGCACAGGATAGGGATTTGTGTGATGAAAGCGTCTGCGCTTTGCCTATATCATATCCCTAAACCCCTGAACCCTAAACCCCCCGGAACCCTAAACCTCTGAACCCTCAACCCCGGAACCCAAACCCCCTAAACCCTAAACCTCTAAACCCTAAACCCCGGAACCCTAGACCTCTGAACCCTAAACCCCGGAACCCTAGACCATTTGGATTTTCCGATAATAGGGGCCCTAGTGTAATAGTAGGATCCTTATAACAAGGACCCCAAAATAAGGAACCCCTAAGTCTCGGAAACTACCGTATCTGGGTTTGTCACAATTACGGTTCCCTTCTTGGGTACCCTAAATATTAGGTGCCGTGTTATAATAAGGACCTCAAAAAGGGATCATAATTTTCAAAACCACCCTACTTGGAGGTTCATGGTTAGGTCTATGTAGGCTTAGGGTTATAAGCAGGGGAACAATAGTTCTAACCCCCTCTTATAGGACTTATAGCCCTATATTTTCAAAACCACTCATATCAGCCCAAAGCCTCAACTCGCAATCCCGCGCGCATGGCCCAGCCTTTGCCATCCTTGTCCCACTTGCGGAACTGCTCCTGGCTGGCTCTTAGTAGGGAATGAGGTTCCTTTAAGGCTTCCTTTAAAGGGTTCCTATAAGGGTTCCTTTAAGGGTTCCTTTAAAGGGTCCTAGATAGAAGGGTTCTATATGGGTTCTATGAGGGTATGGGGGATTTGGTTATTGGGACTACTACAGGGGACCGTAAGGGACTATCATGCGGAACTGCTCCTGTCCAGGCCGGGCAGGTCTGAAAATAAAACGAAGACGAGTGGCAAGCACAAGTTGAGATTCACAGAAATGTTGTGAAAGAACAATCGTGATGGTAGGATGCGGGGTGCAAGATTGGCGTGCAAGCTTGCCACAAACCACTTGCACCACTTGGGGGGGAGGGGGGACTTGGTCATCTTGCCCATCTTGCCTTGCACCAGTTGCACCACTTGGGGACCAAGATTGCGAGATTGGCCAAATTGTGAGCCTGAGTAATTGCCTGCAAGTAAACCCTGCATCTTTCTTCAACCTGGACGCAAAGATCTGCGACCAAAAGCCCGAAAACAACGGCCGTTCTAGAGGAGGGAGGATGCAGCTTGGCCTTCGGGTTCAGGATTAAAGGCATGTATAGATCACTGCATCTTCTTTAATTACGGTCCTGAGCAACACCTCGCATCAGTCAGTGCAAACCACCATCCCCACATGAACACAATCCCCACATGCACTGCACACATAAGGGAACCCCAATTCTGGGCTGGGGCTGAGGAACATGGGATCTGCAACCCTTTAAGGGTCCTGAAGAATCAGAATTCTCTGATACGTTACATACACGCAGTTTTATCTGTTTAGGTATAGATATAGATGTAGATATAGACGCAGATCTACAGACTATAGACATTCATAGAGATAGACATAGAGGGGCTATGTGGTAATCTCTTCACTCATGCTTCAAAGCCCTATATTACAACACTTCCGAAAGCGCGGTCCCGAACAGGATCCATACGACCTTAGCCAGGCATTCCAGAGAGAGCGAACACAGACTGGCTTAACAGAGGGGCCGGAACAACTACAGTAGGTTTTTTTTGGGGGTACACTTTTCTGTATTAATTACACAATATACAGAAGCTCTGGGGATTAGTGATTCAAGCTTCTACTGCAAAAGGATTGGGAGCAAGTTCTCTTGATCCGTTTGGGGTCGGGGCCTTCAAGCGGCAAAGGTTTGGGCTTTAGGGTCAAACGATTCGCGGATGCAGGGCTGAGTTTGATTTTGAAAGTTTGCGGGCTTCGAGCTCCAGGCATTTAGGACGGAAGATAGTTTAATACACCCCTGTAGAGCTAGCCCTCAAAGAGTCCTTGGTATCATAGTATCGTAGCATTCTGATCGTTCACTAAACCCTTAACCCCTTCACCGTAAACCCTAAGCCCTGTTGAGTAAATATTGATCGGGGTTGGGAGCGTCGGGGAAGCATTTCCTTCAGAAGGCCGCTTCCGGGGGTTGGGGTCGCGGTCTTGCCTTCCATGGCTATGGCCACAAAGAACAAGCTGACAAAACCTCTGCAACGCCCCCAAAAACCCTGCCTGTACGTTTAGTTAAAAACCTCTAGGGTGCCCAGTAACCTAGGAATAAAGCGGGCTCCCTTTTTGGTATTGGGTACCTTTATAAAGAACCTAGGACTACAAAAAGAGAATAAGGGTACTACTGGGCATCCTACACTTCCAGAAACCTGAGAGCCATCTGATGGATTCCCAAACTAGTAAGAAGAACTAGTATTTGGGTTTTGGGTCTCTAATATATAATATGGCAAATACTATTTATGGTACCACAAAAGGGACCCCTATTTTGACAACTACCCATGTACTGCTCAGCCTGCTGCAGCACACACTGCAGGATTCTCTGACAATCAACCACGTGATGTCCTTTCCCTTTGCACGACGCGCAAGGTCCTCCAACCATACAGCTCAAAACCTAAGCCTAACTCCTGTGAACCCTACGCCCTAAGCCCCTAGTCTAGAATTGTTGAGGAACCCTTTTGAACCCCCTTTAAAACCTCTAGCAGCTACAGCACCCTAGCAAGTTCCCTGCTAGAACCCTCGATCCTTTGAGGGCAAGGAGCCCTCCCTAAACCCTAAACCCTAAACCCTAGACCCAAAAACCCTAAAACCCTAAACCCTGGACCCTAAAACCCTAAACCCTAAACCCTAGACCCTAACCCCTAGCCCCTAAACCCTGAACCCGAAACCCTACATACTCCCTAACCCCTAAACCCTAAACCCTGGACCCTAAAACCGCCAACCCCTAACCCCTAGCCCCTAAACCCCAAAAAACCCCAAAGCCAGGCCGAGGAGCCCTCCCAGGAGGGCACGGGAACCAGCATCGGCTGGCCGGCGCGTGCTCCTGCAGGAACCTTCACCTCGAAGAACTGACCTCGGCTCTTAGGGTTTCGTTTTTTTTTTAACGCTCCTTTTTCTGCCATGGTATGACGAGGGATTAGGGTTTAGAGTTTAGGGTTTAGAGTTTTGGGCTTGGGGTTTAGAGTTTAGGGTTCCTTCACCTCGAAGAACTGACCTCGGCTCTTAGGGTTTCGTTTTTTTTTTAACGCTCCTTTTTCTGCCATGGTATGACGAGGGATTAGGGTTTAGAGTTTAGGGTTTAGAGTTTTGGGCTTGGGGTTTAGAGTTTAGGGTTCCTTCACCTCGAAGAACTGACCTCGGCTCTAGACGCGTTTCAAAGGTTCGTTTGTGAAAAGAACGCCTGCCTGGACGCGAAAAGTATGTAGAATAAGATCATGTTTATAGGATTTGGGCCATTATTTTACCTACTTTTGGGAGTCTACGTGTTGCTATAGAAGACTCATGGTGAAGATGTTAAGGTTCAAGGATCTAGGGTTTAAGAGATGTGGATTTTCGGGTTCTGGAGTTGACGGTTTGGGATTCCACGGTCCATGGTGGAAGGCTCCAGGGTTTGAGGTTCAGCGCGGAAGTTTATGATGCCTGCAGTCATGACAGATGATGTTGCTCATGGTGATGGTAGCCTAGATGGATATGATTGAAAAAGTGTCCGTCTTGCATTCGTGGGATTTAGCATCAGGATTAACTTCAATGCAAAAGTGTAACACCCGCATGCTATTCAGTTTTTTTTCAAAGGTTTAGGGTTAAGGGTTGGAACCGAAGGCGCATGAGCCATTGTGAGCCCCTTGACAGCACCCTGGAAAGGCCTCGCCGGCCCCATGAAGCTTTGCTGGTGGAAAACCAAGTTAAGCCGTTCAGTCCTACAAAGTTCACAAAACCCTTTTAACGGCTAAAGCCATTTTTCGACCGTTGATGCGCAACTACTACGGCTCGACATGAGGGTTTGGAGTCGTCCACGGTGAGGAGGACAAGAACTCGTCCTGATGCTGCCTTGAGTCCTCTTTCTTATGCTGCTCCTCCTCTTCTCTCTACCGTAATACCTACTAGTCCTACCAGTCTGTGCCACTCCTGTGAAATTACTATACCTTTCAAACCCCTCCCCTTTAACCCCCAATGCCAAGATCCCGAAACCTCCAGGCGCCAAACCTTCCTGGACGAGATTATTTAGGAGGCTGAAAGATTACCAATATGGGTAGTTATCAAAATTAGGGTCCCTTTTTGGGGCCACTAAACTGTATTATAATAGGGACCCCAAAGGGGACAGTAATTTTGACAACCACCCATATTATCTGATACCCTGTTCTTCTCCCATTCGCATGGTCAGGGCTGAAGTGGTCCAAGTCGCCTTTGGCCTTAGGGTGGGGTACTTGGATGATGGTGCCAGCAGCGCCCTCCGGCACCTGGCTGGGAGAAAAACGGTGTGTTCAAGTTTGTTGGTTTCGTCGCTTTAGGGTTTAGGGGAATAACGGTCCATTCAAGTTTGTTGGTTTAAGCAAAAGTTACTGAAATAGTTACGACAAAGTGAAAAGACACAATCTAAGGATGTAGCAATTATGCGGACGAAGCCTTCGAAGACGTCCGAGCGCATTCGCCCAGAAACACGAAACGACATCGCCCACCTTAGCCTAATCCCAAACCCCTAAAAAGCCCCATAGCTCCCTATGAAAAGCTTGCACAATCCTCATAAATCCCCATACAACCCTCAGCCCTAAACCCTGCACCCTAAGCCCTGAATCCTAAAACCCGAAAACCTGTAAGCCCCTTAGCCATCAGCCCCGAAACCCTTTATGAATCCTAAACCCCTAAACCTTATGAGCCAATTAGCCCCTCAACCCCGAAAACCTAAAACTCTAAGCCCTGTAAAAAAGCCCGAAATCCCAGCCGTACTGCTAAAGAACTAAGCCCCATAAGCCCGTTAGGACCGAAATCCCAGCCTTAATGCAGATGGTCGGACCGGGCTCCATGGGTTTGTCGTTGGCATCGCGGATCGGACCACCTTGGGGCGAGCTTCGTGGTTTATGGCTTACAGGTTCCAGGTGTAGGGTCTAGTCTCGTTCGGGGTTAAGGATTTTAAACAGGCTTTCGTCGAAAGTTATCGGGTTTCAGATGGTTTCATAGGGTTTTGGTAAGCCGTGAGAGGGTTTTAGGGGTTCAGCAGGGTTTTATAGGGTTTTAGAAGGATTTGCAGGGTTTGTCACGGGGTTAATCGGGATTTATTATACGGTTTGCAGTTCAGAGGTTTCAGGGTTGGGTTCTCGTAGGGTAGCACAGTAGAAGGTTGAGGGTTTGGTGGTTTCCAATATTTTGTGGATTGTGGGTATGGGAGCTGCTGGATGTGGTTCCGAGGGCTCGGTGTTAAACACCTTCTTGGAATCCCTACACCCTTAAAGTAGGGGCCTTAATAGTTAGAATGGGGTTTTAGGGCCCATTATACTACGACTACAATACGGAACCCCTCAAAATAGTATTGAATTGGTAATTATATAGGCCCCTATCTTAACCCTCAACCCAAAGCCACGATGTCACAGCAGGCTGATCTCTTACAGCAGCACGAGTCGAGAAGAGTGCCAGCGACGGAGTTCGGTACTTCGGTTATGAAGCCTCACACCCCGAATGTTAGATGCTGATTGCAGACGAGTTGTAGTCCAGAAAGTTGACGAAGCACACACCACTGCCAGGATTGAGGAATGATTCGCATGATCGAGAAACCGTTAAAACCAAAACCCTTGACGCGAAGAAATCAAACCCTAATCAACAATACTAGAGCGAATATGACATGCCATACGGGAAGCAGGCCAGGTCAGTTCGGGTCGCATCCTAATTCCGCTGAATTTTGCAGTCGCGATTCCCTTCATTCTGCTTAGGAAAGATTCGGCCTGTACACGATGTTCGACCTTGAGCATCTGCGCCCCCAGATATTTAGGACTTCGTTCTTCAAGCCAGGTCGTGCTAAGTTTGACGTGCAGGTCGGAGCCTTAACTGCATTATTTCGGTGTGATGTCGCCTGTCCTCACTGCAATTTCCCCAGGGAAAGTGATGAGAAGATCCAGAAAGCCGATGTAGCTGACGGTGTATTACTGGCTTCAAGGGTAACTAGGGATCTCTGGTGCTACCCTAAACCAGGAGGTTAAAGGTCACACCTAAACCCTTATAGTATCCTTTTCGATCCCGAAAAAGAACCCCTTATAGTTCCTTAAACCCTGTAACTAGGATACCCAGTAACCTAAGAATAAAAAGGCCTCTCTTTTTGGTAGTGGGTAACTTTATAAGGAACCTAGGACTACAAAAAGGGAATAAGGGTACTACTGGGCATCCTAGATAAAGCCTCATAAGGTTACCTACCCTGAAGTGTTGCCGAGTGGCTTGGCGCCTCCATGCCTAGGCCGAGGATGCTTTCAGGGGTCGGGTTTCATTAGGGCATTAGGCGTGTAGAGCCCAGACCCGAAACCCGAAAAACCGAACCCTAAACCCTTGAACCATAACCCCTATAAGGCGTAGGGATTTGATTAGGGGCTTAGGGTTTAGGAACAAGGCCGGGGTTCGGGTTGCAGGGCGTGCGTGACGCCCTGAGGTCGTAAGGAAAGCCACAAAGCCAACTGGAGCCATGTTGGATTCAGGGCTTCTGATATAATATAGTCCTTCATAGTTATTATACTATATAAATATAATACGGAACCCGCAAAGTAGTACTGGTAATTAACCAGGCCCCTATAGTAGCACCCTACATCAGGATAGGACCCCGCGGCTATTCAGGCAACTTCCCAAAGTGCGCTGCAGCAGTTGGCCGTTAGGGTTCATGTCTTCTCAAGATGCATCGTCCAGAAAGGATGCCGGAGCTGGTTGAGATTGCTTTGCGTTTTCTTAACAAGAAAGAGTCTTCTAACACGTACCAAATGGTAATGTTCGAAGGCAGAGCAGGAACGCTTGCAGGTGTAGTTGTCTGTGCATTGTTTGTAGTTAGCTCCGGCTATTGAACCTATTTGGCTGTTACTTTTAGGGTAGCTGGCTTCCCGGGACCTGATATGAAGGATCCTGCTATGTGGAGGCTACGTTCCGACGATCTTACTAGCTTGTGTTTGCAAAATCCCTCAAAGCTTCTCGATGCGTCCTTCAATACTTCTTGATGGCTTGCCGTGTTCCTTGTTGAGGCTTGCAGAAGGTTTCCGGCTCAGCGCCAGCTTCCGACCCGGAGTATAGGAACCAACAAACAATATTGATTAGGCTGATGCACACCTCCGACAACACACTGCGGCTCAGGTGCGGTATGGGGCCCGGATCTCCCGGGATCCTCCACTTACCAGATTCTCCTGCACATCCCGATCCCTAAACGCCTAAACCCTGAACCCCTAAACCACAAACCCGCATGAACAAGGCAGCGTTTAGGGTAGATGAGAAAGACACACACACAGATGAGTATGAAGGAAAATACAAAGAGGGAGAGATGGAGAGAGAGCGAAAGAGAGAGGGAAACGGAATAGCGGTTGTCATCATCAAGAGCAACGTAAGAAGCAACATGCAGTTATCCGGATGATGATTATGCTGAGGATGATGAGGATTGAAGATGATGATGTTGTTGACGATGCTGATGTTGATGCCGATGTTGGTGCTCGGCTGGTGCCTGTGCTGGTGCAGTGGCGGTGCTGGCGTTCGTGGTTGTGTTCTGGTGGTAGTGGTGGTGGTTGAGTTGTTGGTGGTGGTGGTGGTGGTGGTGGTGGTGGTGGTGGTGGTGGTGGTGGTGGTGGTGGTGGTGGCGGTGGTGGTGGTGGTGGTGGTGGTGGCGTTGTTGGCGGTGGTGATGGCGGTGGCGGTGGTGATGCAGCTCCTGATACTACTGAAGAGCATGATATGGTGATGATTGACATCTTGCTGGTGTTGCTGGTGTATCTTCAGAACCATCGCGATCAACATGCGGAGACAAATCGTCATCATCATCATCATCATCATCATCACTTTTCTTGCTGTTCTTGTTGCAGTTGCTCTAGCTCCAGCTGTAGCTCTATATAGCTGCTGCTGTTGCTACTGTTGTTGTTGTTGTTGGCGGTGCGGGTGGGTGTGGGTGGTGTCGTGGCGGTGCTGGCGCCCGAAACCGTGAATTCTTACTAAAACCCTACTGTAACCCCTAAACTAAGCCGCTCTAAACCCCCAAAGCCAAAGCCTAAACCAAACTCCTCTGGGGATCTAGACCCGATGCGCCTACATAGCCGTTTTCGGAAGGGCTAACCCAGAGAGCCCAATACCCCTTAATTAAGGAATATACCTTATATATGATATGCGCCTTCTTATAACTTAAGGTATATTCCTTAATTAAGGGGTATTGGGCTCTCTGGGAATGTGAGCCACTTCCAAAGCTCCCCTTGAAACACAAAAACTCGCATTACCACCGTGTAGGGTAAGATTGTTGATGATATAAATCCTGCATTACCTTCAGGGCCCTACACCATAGGAATAATGGCATATATTTCTTATTGTGGGTCATGCAAGATTTATATCATCAACCGTCTCTGTCATGACTCAGGCTTGTCTCTCCGGCCCTACGCCGAAAGCCCTGAAGCTCAGGTCCTGGGTCATGTTCTTGAAGTTCACCTGCAATGGGACGGGCAGGATGCCGATGAACTCTTCTTACCAAAGGCCCTATAATTGGTATATACAATCAAAGGGGAAAAGGAGGGACCCTTGATGGGGACCTCTACCCTATATTGGGCTATGTCATAGCTATATCAAGGCTGTATACCTAGGGGTCCTTATTAAGGGTCTTGCCCTATCATTGGTATATACTCAAAGGGTGAAAGGAGGGACCCCTAACAAGGACCCCTAGGTATATACCCATGTTCTAGCCATTATATAGCCCATTATAGGGTAGGGGTCCCCATTAAGGGTCCCTCCTTTTCCCCTTTGATATACAATGGTACCCAGTGAAAATCGGACGGGCTCTGTAAGTTGAAGCGTGCCCCAAACCCCCAAGCCACTTGGGATTGGAGTGATGCAGCGGACGGTCTCGTCTAAGTTTGGGGTGTGTGGCCACTGGGCAGTCTGGTGGTCTGACGTTTTACAGCTTGGGGTTTACAGCGTTATGTCAGAAACCCCGGCCGTGGCCTCAGTCTACGTACCGAAATACTTGGATGTTCGTATCGGAGTTTCCGAAAACCGGGGACCCTATGATATACACTAGTATAGTACCCTAAATAGAAGGATCCTTGTTATAAGGAGCCCAAAATAAGATACCCCTCATTTTCGGAAACTCCCATATCAAAAAGCGAAGAGGGCACAGGAGCTCTCTTTCTTTGGAGGTCCTCCTCGGGGCTGCAAGCCTCTGTTGGGGACTGGCCGTGGGGTAATCTAGGGGCCTCCATATTCGAATAGGGGTTTCGGGGCCCGGTAGACTATATCCATATATAAGGAACCCCCCAAAATAGCATACGTATTTGTTTAGGCCCCTATAGCATGGGATTCATCTTCCCTGGTCTTAACATGGTCCTGAGCTCAACCTCCCCTCCCGCCTGAAACAATGCTGAAGTCCTCAACCCAAACTTAGGGCCCAAAAAATCACATAAGCAACAATTAAGAGAGGGATCTCCCATATAAACCCCCTTATAATGAAGCCCATTAAGGTAGGGATATCCCCATAAAATGCTTATGCGTATGTGTTATTTGGGGCCTCTAAAAACTTCAAAGCCACCCCAACCGTAAAACTCCATAATCCGCAAGCGCCGAGGCAAGAAGTCCCTACATCCGATCCTGCGCTCACGATTCATCCGAAAGCCGAAGCCCAGTTCGACAAGACGTCGGAAGCTTCAACATCCGAAGCCCGGCCTCGAAAAATCCCACGAATCACGCTCACGGTTTAGGGTTTAGGGTTTATAACTATAGGGTTCCAAACCCGAAGCTTTAAGTTTCGGGCTTTCCAGAGCCAAACAATCCCAAGAAATGGAGTCATCGAAGGCTGACCGAGATTGAGCATTACCAGTACGCATAGCCCCTCGGCCGCCATGCCTCGTACTTCTCCTGGCAAGCTCAGCATCTTGTAGCGGGCATATGGATGTTTTAGGTTTTGGCATTGTTGGTAGGGCCTTAGGTACTGATGCGTGTGACCACCCGGCATACATGCTGATCGCTTCGTAGGAGGCTGTCTGTGGCAGCCTCACTACACTCAACAGCAGCACTTCAATAGACGCTGCCCCATATCAACTGAATGTCATCAAGCGGAAACTTAAGCATCCCAGAAGCATAGTCAGCATCGAGCGCTTCGAACTGTAACATGCTGTAACCGCAAATGCTTCAGTGACACTTAAAGGCACCCATTGCAGCAACGTCCGTCCTTCTTGCCGTTAATGAACCTCGGTGTGGGGCGGAAGCTGTCAGCTGCTGGGCCGGCGGAGGCTTAGGTTCACGTAGATCTCCTGCTCTTGCAAGTTACACCCATGCTGGCGCTATCCCGATGATGCCGGTGACCGTTGCCACTGCGCTTACTATGTTCCACTCTTAGACAACCAGCACTACAATCGAGACCCACGGCAACAACACCAACAACATCGATAACAGCAAGGATCTGCACAGACTAGGGCAGGGGCCTAAGAAGATCGAATAAGGGCCTCGGGTATAGTACAATGTGCAAGGCCCGCTTCGACACCGGCCAAACATCAAAGGCCTGAAACACTGCAAAGCACGAGACGAACAGCACCTCAACAACAGTAAACATTGTACGTCGAACCCGGACACATTGCCAAATACGATGCACATCGTGTCCCACCCGCACAATACACTGAACTGCCCATTGGAACGATCATTGTGTTGGCCGATAATCAACCCGAAAACACTCTGCACCACGATACAAACGGCAGCTGACCCACAGAAAACACTGTTCCGAGGCAAGCTCAAATTTGGGGCTTGGCTGCAGACGACGACTCGTTATCATTGGCATTGCTGCTACGCTGAAGGTGATGATGATGGTAACGATGTCGAAGGTGTGTCCGTACTCTACAGTTGTCTATACCGGATTTGCAGCCATCGTCACCGTGAGTACTATGTACTGTTTACCCTAAGGCTCCATAGTAGTTCCTTTTTGGGGTTCATATATAGAATCCTATAATTAAAGTAATCCCGAAAAGGAACTACTATGGAGCCTCTGGGTAGCTTGCCCGAAGTCAAAGCAGAGCATCTCAAAGCCCCTGCACTGATTGGCCACGTGGCATGTTGAAGCGAGCCGTGCGCTGGCCGGACATGTACGCGGTCTTCAGTTTCTTGTCTTCGTTCTTCCTGAAGAGTACATGAGCTTAAGGATCAGCTTTTGGGGGAGTAAGTTGAGGGTTTATACGTGGGCCTTGTGGCACTTCACGATGCGTTTAGCCTCGTCTGGTGAATTTTGATTTTTCAGCATTGAACCTGAAATTCTGAGATTGCATAACACTATACTGTGACGTTATATACTAAACCGTACGATGCTATAAACTAGTACATGACATCACCAAGTTTGTATTATATAGCATCTTATAATGCATAGAGGTGATTCATGAAATAGAATGTGTGGTGGTGGTAAGAAATAGTCTCTGGTGTGTGATTCTATTTTACTACATGGCATGATACAACAAAACACTAAGTGTCGATGGCCCACCATATGCTATTGTATTCCATGGTCTGTGTCAGGATAGACGAGGCTGTGGTGGGTGTACATTGTGTTGCAGGGGGGGAGCTACGCCAGCATCGATGCAAAGAGATTTCGACAACGACCAAACACCCCAAACTCGGAACCTGAGACCCAGCATCCGCAAGTTTTTTAAGTCATCGTAAACAAACAGGCCAGCAACATGAAGGGCGTGCACATGTATACACATGGATATATACATGTAGACGTACAATCTCTCTCTCTCTCTCTCTCGCTCACACGCACATTCTGCATTTGCCCGTTAACGCCTTCGTCTGTTGCAGGCCTCGTGAAACAATTACGCCTCAGCCTGCGCCTAGTGAAGGGATATTGTACTATGCACCCGCCTGCAGTCAGGGACCCTCAGGGGTTGCATCAACAGAATTTAGGCTTAGAGCTTTTGGCGTTTCCGATCGGGTCGTCGTTTATAGGGCTATTGGCTTCGGGGCTCTCCGGGCTGCGGGTGCTGGAATTGAATAGATACCCTAAGGCTCCATAGCAGTTCCTTTTTGGGGTTCATATATAGAATCCGATAAGGGAATCCCAAAAAGGAACTATTATGGAGCCTCTGGGTAAAATGTAATACTAGAATCCAGTTGGGTTCCCTAATCTACTTATAGCCTACCTATAGTCTCCATTGTAATCCCTTTTTTTTGGCTTAACCACTTTCACATTAAGGATCCTAGAAGGTAACCCCAAAAAGGAACTACAATGGAGACTATAGGTAGAGCCCCATGGTGTTTGGGCCCCTGCATAAGAAAGGCTCGCACATGCCAGATCCCTCAATTCTAGCCAGAGGCTCCATAGTAGTTCCTTCTTTGAATTACTTTATAGGATTCTATATATGAACCCCAAGAAGGAACTACTAAGGAGCCTTGGGGTAGAGCCCAAACCCGCAGTCCCAATGGCGCCAAGAGGCCCATAGTCTTGCCAATGGTGGCCAAGCTTCACTTGAAAGTGCGACATCCTCTCCCGGTTTAGGGTTTAGGGTTTAGGGGGTCGGCGCAGCGGTTCAGAGTGGCTGAAATCCTGAAAACCCTAACCTCTTAACCCAAGATATTAAAAGCCTTACACCCTGAATTGAAACCTAAAGCCCTCAAAGCTTAGGGCTTAGGTCTGGGTTTGGGAGTGAGGGTGGAATGGTAGGGCGAAAACTCCGAATAGGGCTTTATACGAGAATGCATGTTGGAACCCGAAGGACTAGATGCCATAGGGTTTTAAGGGTTTTGGCCTGAGGCTTTCGAGCTTCACGGGCTTCGTGTTTGGGAAGCGGGGGCTAGGCTACAGCCGCATTTAGTGGAACGGTGGTATTCTGAGGTCTTGGGGATTTGAGCACATTCGGGGTCTGTGCGAGTGGCTTACACTTGGTGTTTAGGGTTTAGCATCTAGGATTTCAGCTTTCAATATGAGAGGCTTGCATTTTCCTGTGGGATGAGGGAGGAGCTTTGCAGCACCAAGCTGTCTGTTCGCGCTCGTTGCTACATCATGACATCTAGCATGTCCCACGCTTGAAATGAAGCACAGGCGGTTTTGCAAATGTGATGCCTTATCCACCCAAATTCTGAACCGCACCCCTTGCAGCCATTTCTCGACGAAACCCGCAAAGCAAGATGGTGCCTGCATTGACGCTTGTTCTTTCCTATCCGAATTATGAAGATTTCTCCGGCAAAGTTAACGCCCACTACTGCCGGCGAGAATCAGAACCTTTCAACCCCCTGTACCAAAACACCTTTCTGGACTTGGGTAATGCTGGACCCCATAACCCAAGTCGGAACCCGAAATGCTAAACCATTAACTCTTGCACTCGATTGCTTTTAGATAGACGACATAATCAGACCACAGGGGAAAGCAGTGCGGATCCCATAGTCCGCCAGGAACGCACGAAATGCGAGTTTTGAAAAGGCCCAGTTAATCCAAGGGTAAAAGGAGGGACCCTTAATAAGGACTCCTAGGTATATACCCTTAATATAGCTATGGTGTATCCAATATATAGCCCATTATAGGGTAGGGGTCCCCATTAAGGGTCCCTCCTTTTCCCCTTTGAGTTAAACAAATCCAGGTTCGTGAACCCTAAAAAGCGCATATCCTGGAAGCCCCTCCAGGTCCTAAGCCCTAAACCGCACAACAACCTAATAATAATAATAATAATAATAATAATAATAATAATAATAATAGTAATTTTAATAATAACAATAAAAATAATATTAATAATAATAAGACAAAGAGTAAGAAGAAATAATAACAAGAAGAACCAGGATACTAATTAATGATGATGCCCTCAAATTAAGAACGTCGGTGCCTTGAAGGGCTTCTGTTCGAGCCGCCCTTTGGCCAGTGCTCTGATGGAGGTCCGCTGCTAATGCTCGAGCCAACACATCAGACAAGAGTTTAGGGTTTGAGTTTAGGGAGGCCTTCTATATGGGAGTTTCCGAAAATAGGGGTACCTTATTTTGGGGTCCTTGTAATAAGGATCCTACAATTTAGGGTACTTTATTAGGGCGCCCTATACTTGGAAACTCCCATACACTAGGCTAACGTCTTACGGGTGTCGATCAGGCCTTCTGGCGAAGAGGCCAGTAGAAACTCCTTTCACCCTAAGGTGTGGTCTGTTGGTTCGGCCAAGGCCCTCTGTCCAAGTTTCCGGACCTTAGACCCGGTGGACCATAGACCCTACTCAATGAAGACTTCCATCGTTCAACAATTCAACATGTGGGTGGTTGTCAAAATTAGGGTCCCTTTTTGGGCACCCTAAATATTGGGTGCCGTATTGTAATAGGGACCCAAAAAAGGACCATGATTTTGACAACCACCCATGTGTTGAATGCTCGCTCCCATGCCTGTGCCTACGAAGGAGCTGCAAACGCGGCTTCCTACCTGCTACCTTCACTGCTCAATTCTCCAACCCAGGGGCCCGAAAGTTCGAGCCTGTTCCCTGCGAAACGCTCGAACGACGTCAGGGCTCATCTTCGATGCTAGTATGTGCTACACCATATGCTATGCGGGCTTCGGGCAATGGGGCTTGGGCGACTGGCTGGAGTAAGGACAGCTATGCACTCTGCATATCTGCGCGTATGTGCTACGATCGATACTATTACTGTTCTAGCTACCGTCACGGTACGTCACCGAGTAACATTCGATGCAACGTTATAGACACTGCCTGGAACTGCTGACCTCACTTCCTTTAGAAGCTTAGGTTGGGCATATGGGAGTTTCCGAAAATAGGGAACCCTGATATAGTACCCTAACTAGTAGGATCCTTATTATACGGACCCTAGCATAAGGTACCCCTAATTTTCGGAAACTCCCATGTGGCTTGGGCACCTTTTTGGCAGGTACCCGTGCAGGTGGAGAGGCAGGTATCTTCCTGCCTGCCTGTCTCACAAGGGAGAAGCTTTACAGCACGTGGCAGGCACGCGCCAGCGCGCAGCTTAGTGAGCACGCTGGAAAACGGCAAGCCTCTTGTCGCCAATCCTCACGGGAGGCAATAGTCTACCATTCCTTTAGTCTCGATTGCAGTACCTGTGTGGGGTTGCCTTACCTAGGCTTTTAAGTAGCCAGGGAGAAAACAGTATAAACTTCCTAGACCCTCCAACTACCCTCTGTTAGACCCTCAATGCCCCTTATTTGGGACCATATACCCCTAATTGAGGGTACAAGGAGGGTCCTGGTTTATTTCATAATGGTTCCTTTAAAGAAAAAAGTATTAACGTATGGTACTCCAACGCCCAGATACAGGATCCTAACTACACAACTGCTTAAACCCAGAATCAGCAACCCCAATGGATAGTACCCAGAGACTCCAGTATCCCTCAATTAAGGAATATATGTTAAATCTTATTAGAGATCCTACTATAATTTAAGGAACATTCCTTAACTCATATTAGAGATCCTACTATGATTTGAGGAATATACCTTAATTAAGGGATATTGGAGTCTCTGGGTACAGGATTGCCTCAACCTAAGCCTTGCTCCGGAAAATCTCGAAGCCAAAGGCTCCTATAGGCTAGGATACCCAGTAATCTAAGAATAAAAAGGCCTCTCTTTTTGGTATTGGGTAAACTTTATAAGGAACCTAGGACTACAAGAAGGGAATAAGGGTACTACTGGGCATCCTAGTAGGTTCTGTGATTCTTGGTGGGACTTTGAGGTTTCGAGACTGCAGGATTCGGGGTTTGAGGGTTTGGGGATGGTTTAACGTTTAGGGTTTAAGGTTCGGGGTTTACGGTTTAGGGTTCAAGGTTTAGGGTTTACGGTTTAGGGTTCAAGGTTTAGGGTTTAGGGTTCAGGGTTTTTTGGGGTTTTGGGTTTAGAGGTTTAAGGTCTGGGTTTAGGGTTGCGGGGTGGAGCGGTTGACGTTGGGGATACTTGAGTCTAGTAAGGATCAGGGCATTCGGCGTTCAGGCTTTGGGATCTTTCCCCAAACTGCCACGACAAGCAACCGAGTGGTAGGGGGGCTTTGCCATTTTGAGGAGGCTTGCATGGGGCATTTTTTGTACTATAGTTGTGATAGGGACTACAAGCGAACAGTGCTACCACGCATTCCTACCCCTATGCTTCTTGTGAGTCCTGCAGATAAGATTGCTTGGCTTCAAGAATGACGATCCCCTAAACCCTAAACCCACGAGGTTTCGGGGTTCAGGCTCTTTAGGCGTATGGTCGGGTTGTCAGGCCAAAAGGAACAAGCTGGGAATTCAGGCGAACCCCCCACAGACTCGAATAGGCCTTGATTAAGATGATTAAGGAATAGTCATTTGCATCATATAAGGGATCCTACAATACTTTGTGGAATATTCTTTAAATCATATAAGGGATCCTACAATAGTTACAGGAATATTTCTTAATTAAGGGATACTGGAGTCACGAGATTTCTACTGTTTCAGGGACCTTCGGGTTCGGGACCACCTCGATTGGGGACCCAACCCAGAGCGACCGGCCCCAGGAAGCCACCGAAGACTCCCCGGGAGCTCAAGCAAGCTCTGAAGGCCAAGGAACCCACTAAATAGTATTGGTGCCCCTATAATACCTATAATACCCATAATATAGTAGCCTATAATACCCATAATATAGTAGCCTATAATACCCATAATATAGTAGCCTATAATACCCATAATATAGTAGACTCTTTCAGAAATCGAAATGTTCCCGAAACCCGAAATCCCGAGCCCCTAGAGCCGGAACCCCCGCCTGAAATCGATGTTGGCTGGCGGCCATCGTTGTACTTAAAGGGAAGCAAGAGTCTGTTGCAGCCCTCGGAAGTAGGAGCTGTCAGGGGTCCACGGATGCTCTTTGTCTAGGGTTACGTGTGTAGAGCTCAAGGCTCCAAGGTATTACGGCTGAGGGGGCCATGAAGGGTCTGAGGTATAGATCTCAAGACCCATTTTGCGTTGTTTAGTGAACACCTCACTTCCAAATGATAAAAGCATGGTTTGTGGTTTCGGCTCAGTGGAAAGGCCTGTACCTTCGGCCATGATTGCTGGAGGTTTCACGATCAATTGAGAAACAGCTATCCTACACATGGTGATCACTACCGATATCTTGATTGCAGCACTATAGAGTGACATGTACGAAGATCGCCACCGCTAGTGCTGTTGCAGCGTCGTCGTACCTACAGTCTTCGACCAGCAGTACTACCCTTGATGTCAGCACTGCCCGAATTCGTATCAATCCTGAGCGGCAGTATGCTTCTCGTCAGAGCTTCGTGTCGATCCTCGTCTTGCTGCTGTCTCTGTGTGTGTGAGTCTCTGTGTGTGTGTTGCTTGTCAGCTCAACCTCCTTTATTCACCCATGATGAAGCTTTTTGCCGCCACCTTATGCCTTCGGCATACTTGCGATTGTCATGGTCGCCGCGTTGAGGTAGTACAACCGCAAAAACACCCTTAGAACCACACTCCCTACTCTAGACCCTAACCCCAACCCTAAGCTCTAAACCCTTAAACCCCAAACCCAACCCTAAACCCTAACTAACCAGTGGTTTTGGGGGTTCCCTTGGCTTTTTAGCTCCTTGTTTAATAGGGATTATCACCATCCCTGGCTCCGAATCCGAAGCTCCTCCAATATCAAGGGTTAGCTAAACTCTAAACCCTTAGCTACACTGCCTTGGCCTCTCAAATCCAGGCGCTAAACCTGAAGGCGTGGATCCGAGACCCGACACCAACAACTACTAAACTCCGAACTTTAGGGTTTTAGGGTTCAGGGCTTTAGGGCTTAGGGCCTTAGGGTTTGAGGGTTTAGGATTCAGGGGCCTCCAGCCCGGAACTGTAAGCACATGAAAACCCCCAACCTGATTCTGAGGCGACGGCTCTAGAACAGGTCCATAACAAAGTCGCCCACATCCTGCAGCGCTGGTGTGGGCAGCGCTTGGGATTCCGGGAGCCCATGCTTTCAGGCATACGGGTTTGCAGGGCTTGAAGCTTCAGCGTTTTGGGCACTTGCAGATACTGGCATTTTCTACGAAAGTGCCCTGGGCCCCACGGAATTGATGACGCCTCCGGAACCCTTGGGTATTGGGGATCGCAGGGTCGCCTGACAGGATATCCACAAACAACAACTAAAGTGCAATTAGAACTCCAAAACACAAGTAAGTCCATAGGAGGCCTGATTTTCTAAACTCGACGGCACCCCAAGGCCATAAGCACACAACTTGAAGGATCATGGGTAGTTTTGAGGTGGGGTTATAAGCCCTTAATATGGGTTATAACTTTATGAGTGTAGTACGTTATCCTACTCATAACCATGAACCCCCAAGTCTCTCCCACTGCAAAAGATGTGAACCCGAAGCCTCAAAACCGGAAACCACTTCTCCCCCCCCCCACCTCTGCAGCTCCGCCAATCCACTCCTGGTTAAGTGAGGTGCACAGGGTGAGCATAGGAATTTGGGGGTTTGAGGGTTTAGGGGTGTTTCTTACCTTAACAATTATGACTACTATTACTACCATGCTACTACCATATCACTATCATATTACTACTATTACTACTATTACTACCATACTACTATCATATTACATTCCCTACTAACCAAAGGTAAGGTTTCCACACTTCGGAGCCTGAGTTCGGTAGGGCAGGGGAGGAACATCTGCTGCAAAGGCTGACTGCCGGTTGCGCTAGTGACTTTGGAGGCTTGAGGAGATAGAATCCGGAAGGTCAGTTTCAACCCTTGCCTCAAACATCACTTCAAGCCATTGCTCTAACCTGCAACTGGCCCTAAAACCCCAAAATAGTAGGATTCACCAAGGTTTCTTAATCAGGGTACAGGAATACAAAGGCATCGGCCACAAGGCTTCACCTTGGTTCAGGGTTTAGGGTTCTGGGACAGGTTTAGGGCTTAGGGTTCTGGGCCCTAGTCATCTCAAGCGTCTCAAGACACACTTTGCTTAAGAACGGTGCCTTGATCACTCCTTGTTCTTGGGTACCCTAAAAAATGGGTGCCGTACTATAATTGGGACCCAAAAAGGGACCCTAGTTTTGACAGCCACCCACATGAAGACCGAAGGGTGTATCCGAATGTTAATGCCAGCTATTCGGAGGAAGCCCTTTCAGGAGATAGGCTTTCAGGAGGCTTCATGCTCCTCGAAGCTACACTGACGGGGTTTGCGGACTGACTTAGGGTTTGGAACTAAGACATAGTCTGTATCTGGAGACTCCGTTGAGGGCTTAGAGCTTTGGGAGTTTATGTTTTTTTTGGGGGGGGGCGGTGGGGCTCCTTTTTCCATCTGCAGGAATCCACAGGTAGAAGGCCATACGGGAGTTTAGGGCTTGAGGGCCTTAGGGATTGGAAAGGTTTCGGAGTTTACTGTCAGTGTAGATGGATGCACCCACTCCAATGTGCCACCAAGCTGCACCCACGTCCGTGGCGACGTCGCCTACTGCATCCTGACTTCGATAAGACCATCAAAGATACCGACTTCCAGCGTTTCGGCTTCGAGATACACATCTGTATGTGCATGGATGGATGGATGGATGGATGGATGGATCTCTTCTGCTGCTGTTGATGGGCTGGCGTAACCTGTTGCAGCAGTTTTCATGTGTTGAGCTGCAAGAGTCCGCGAAACAAGCAGAGCCTGCAGATGAGCAGGAGGGGGCTTCAGAACTACTATAGGGACTTAAATATTTACCTTTCTGATTCTTGGGGTTTCTTGTTATTGTTATTGTTATTGTTATTATTCTAGTATAATATAATGGGCCCCAAAACCCCCCAATCCCTCCCCGACTCGTCTCAGGAAGGTTGAGGAGTCTGCAAGCACGGCATGCTAATGATACATACCATAAGCATGACTGGTCAGTGCCGAGTTTCGCCCACGTCGGTGGCAATGTCGGCCACTGTTTCCTAGGCGATGGGCAGCGCCGAATAACTTCAACACTGAATCCCGGAAGATATTCTGGAGCTTAGCACAGCAAGTCTTTTGTGGCACCCACAAGCAACGAAACCTACACCTGATGTGTTCGTGACAGTTCGGGGTACATGCATGGCTTGTTCGATATAGAGGAGCTTCAGCCAGGAGTAGCACAATTCCAGCATCCGTCCAAATTTTGAACCTAGGCTCCGTCTTTGACAACTGCACAGGCCCTACCTACGCAAACCCATGGAAGCCGAATGGAGAGACCCGAACCTACCCATAGGCCGCATAGTAGCCTTTCGGGATTACCTTATAGAATTCGGAATATGAGCCCGGATAAGATCCCGTAGCACTAAATAAGGCACCCCAACTTGAATGAAACTTCACATATAATCCTATGAAGGCCGTATACAACCTTACCGAGCCCTCCTAAATCTGAAGCCCTGGAAATAAAAGCAGCCCTCAGGGTCCCTATAACCCCTAAACCCTAAACCCCTAAACCCTAAGGGTCCCTGCGACCGAACCCAGTCAGGGCCAAAAGAGCTCGAACCGAGATTCGCCGAGGTCTTCCAAGCCGTCACCTTCGGCCAAGAGCCTCGGAAGCGCCAGGGATTCCTAGAGCTTACCAGTAGGGTGTAGGGTTTGGGATTTAGGGTTTTGGGGTTTAGGGTTTGGGGTTTGGGGTTTAGGGTTTGGGGTTTTGTGTTTAGGGTTTGGGGTTTAGGGTTTGTTGTTTAGGGTTTGGGGTTTAGGGTTGGGGTTTAGGGCTTAGGGTTTAGGGTACCAAGAGGGTCCAGATATATGGGAGTTTCCGAAAAATAGGGGTACCTTTTCGGGGGGTCATTGTAATAAGGGTCCTACTATTCAGGGTACTATATCAGGGTCCCCTAATTTTCGGAAGCTCCCATATACTACTAGTACGATTAGTTGTGTTATGATTACCATTGTGGAGCTAGATCCCCCCAAAGTCATAGCCGGGATGGTCTATTGGAAGCTGGTTCCATAGCTGCCGTTATATGGACCCTCTGTGTCAACGAGTTCCTCAAGGTCCCTTAAGGGCTTTGAAGCTTAGTGGTTTAGGGCCCCTTAAGGGGTTCCATTGCAAGGTCTCTACTACAAAAACAACTCTGTGCTCTGGAGGATGTCTCGATGGATGTGGCATGAAAACACCGATCCGAACTACTCCGCCCGGACACCTTGTACAGAAAACTCTTCCCCTCTGTGACTAACTGTTGTACTATACCCCACTCTTCCCTGCTTTGCAAAACTAGATTGTACTATACTCCAAACCCTGTGCTAATTCTTACATACAGGTGTAAAAACCGTTAAAAGCCAGTAGATTGGAGAACGGCACTCGTTGAATCCTCTGGACCTGTGGACGTGAAGCCTCAGAGCCTGAAGGCCTTCAATCTCTAGATTCCAGCGGTCCCCTTTATAGGGCTAACCCAGACAACCCCCAATTGCTGACAAAAAATGTGTTCATTTCAAGCTTCCTGGCTTAGGGGTATTGTTTAAGGTTTAAGGTTTCGGGTTTGCCAAGTCAAGTCTAAGTGGGCGAGTCCCAGATGAAGGAAGCCCCGGCACGCGCCGGCGACTGCCAAACCTCCCACTGCTGCAACACCTGCATTCCCAAGGGCTGCTTGGGAGCTCCTCAAAGTACCGTTAGGGTCCCTTTTTAAGGATGCTGTAGTATTTTTGGGAACGTAACCCTAAACCCTAAACCGTTAGGGTCCCTTTTTAAGGATGCCTACTACTACTACTACTACTACTGCTACTACTACTGCTACTGCTACTGCTACTGCTACTGAAACTGCTACTGAAACTGAAGACACTTTCAGACAAGACAAGACCAAAGCTTCGCGTAGATGTTCGGACCTCTTCACCGGACCCGTCGAGCTGATCGCATTCCGGACCCAGCCGCATTCTGTCTCTCTCTGCAGCAGCAGAGCTTGTGTAAGTAAGCGGCTGTCGTGCACTGCAGCCCTGGAGTCGGAAAACAAGTCCCATCTTGCCTCCGGTGCGCGAGGAACGGACACCAAAATCTCCACCGGCCCGCCTCCAGCTGCTGACACAGGCGAACAGGTCTCGGTCTCGGAGATCGGCGGCAGCAGAGGGACCGACTGCGCTTCGCGTGCCAACGGATGCTTCTCGAGGTCCGCGCAGAATTCCCTGTAGCCTGACCCAAAGCTGCTTTCGGCGGTATCCCAAGCCACAAGATGCCCATGCCTGAACCCCAGTTTACCCGTAAAGTTGGGAGCCCCTAAGGGAAGGAATGGACTCCAGAGAGGTCCAAACCAATAATTTGTTTGTTTGGGGGGGGGGCCCTAAGGAAAAAGGACCCTAGAGAGCTCCTGTGTCCCATGCCCTAAACTCCGAGAGTACCTGCTCTTAGCCTGATGTTCCCTTCAAGGTCGTCTAACCAATGCTGTTGGGGTTCCCTTGGCTTAAGTAGGGATTATCATCACCCCTGGCTCCTTAGCCCCTCCAATATCAATGGTTAGTCTTGGTCTTGTTTTAGGGGTTTAGGGTGGAGGGCTTAGGGTTTAGGGTCGGTTGTGACCTCACATGTCACGACCCAGGCCACAACCACTTACAGTACGGCTACCACAAAAGTCATCCGGAGCCCTGCATGGGCTTCGCGGCGCCCGTAACAAGCATACCCTAAACTAATAATGCCCTCAACGTCAAACCCTCCAACCTGAATCCTAAACCAAAATCCTAAAACCCGCATCCAAAATCACCCTGAACCTCCCGGATCGCTAGGTCCAACTCCGCGGCTTCACTGAGGCCCTAAACCGTCAATCCCGAACCCTACAGGGCACTTTAGCTTCGGCTTCGGCCTGACACAAGCCTGCCCCAACTGGACCTAAAAACTAAACCCCTTTCTGCAGGCCTCAGGGCGACTGTACTCGAGTAACCCGGTTGTGAAGCTAGCTGCCCTTCTAAGCAGTCAGGGTCGGCGTCTTTGTAAGCCCCTTTTACAACATCCTTCTTAAACCCGATCGCACCTGTTCCCGCCAAAACTCCTATATTCTAAACCCTATTGCGGAACACTTGTTGCAGTTTGTTGCTTAAAGTCCTACTTGTAACGTTTTTGGTTATATAGGGGTTATATAGGGACTATACTACCAAAAAAAGGTCAAAGGTTCTACTACTATCTCAAGGAAGCACTGGCCTCCGACTCCCGCCGCGACTTTCGCGCCGGTACTCCACCCCCTTCCGCAGGCACCGCGGGGTTCAGGGGCTTTCGGCCCTAACCCTTTTTTGAACCCCCGTAAAGCCTACGTAAACTTTAGGGGTTTGGGGTTTAGTTCAGGGAACTCTCAACCCTGAACCCGTTTAGGCTAGTGTTTGTAGATTCGCGTTTTCGGGGTAGGGTTTGGAGATCGAGAGGGTCGGGACAGGGCTTAATTTCCCAGAGGGTCCAAGTAGCAGTATAGTATATCCTTTCGGGGCCCAAATACCTACTAAGTACCTACTATAGCGGTACATGGACCCTTTGGGTTTAGGCTTTCGCATGTCAGGCAGGTCTGTGGGCTTTATGTCGTTTGGAGCGCCTTGGTCTCTGCCTATAGTCTCCGGTGTAGTTCCTTTTTGGGGGTTACCTATTAGGATCCTTAAGCCTTACTATAAGATTGGTTAAACCGAAAAAAGAAGCTACAATGGAGACTATAGGTGGATACCGGAGCGGGGGTTCAGCACAAAGCGGAAGAAGCAATCGAGACAAGATGACAACTGTTGAAGTAGCAGCAACAGAAACCCTGTCTCTGTAGATCAAAACCCTGAGCCAAACCTGCGCCTGAGCCCCAAGAGCCTACGCTCCAAAAGACGAGTTACTAACCCGAAGAACGAGGTCCTAAGTCAATGTAAAGGCAATAATTTGGTACTTACCTTTCGGAACCCTTCCCCCCACCCTCCGCCCCCAAACCAAATCCTTATAATACATACCCCTTATAGTAGCCCTTATCGACCCCTTTTAACGGATCCCAAAACCACAAAAAACCGTCCCCCCCCCCGAAGCTAAAGCCCTCCCAGCGTTTCGCGCTTCTTCGCCGGTTCTCCGCCCGCTGCAGGCGCAGGCGGCGCAGATGGGGCAGGTGTTGGGTCGGTTCCTCCGGGCAGGGTTGAGGGTTTAAGGTTTAGGATTTTAGGTTTAGGATTTTAGCCGCATTTAGAGGGTTGAATTCGGGGCTATTAATTGGGTTTGGTTTCAGCATTTTGGGGTTTAGGGTTTTAGGCGTCAAAGCTTAGGTCTGGTGCTCTTGAAGACGTGCGGATTTCCCAGGGTTGAGGGTTTAGGGCTGCAGGACGTTAAGGGTTTTGGGATTTACGGTTTGTAGGCCCCCCAAAAAAGCACATAAGCGAAGATTAGGATAGGGACATCCCATATAATCCCCTCACAATGAAGCCCAAAAAGGTAGTAATAGAATGCTTATGCTCATGTCCTTTTTTGGGTCCCTAAGTTTGTGGCTCTTTGGGGGGAGGCTAGGTTCCCCGTCGAAGTAGTTCGACCTGGAAGCCTGTGGGGGCATTTCGGGGCGGTTTTGGCAGTTTAGGGTTTAGGTTCTATATATAGGGTTGATCCACAGGTAACTATAGGCTCCATAGTAGCTCCTTTTTGGAATTACCTTTAAACATTTTGGGATTCTAAATAAGAACCTCCAAAAAGGAACTACTATGGAGCCTCTAGGTACTCCTAGACTGGGAAGAAGGCTTTCTTGTCTGTCTGAAAGGCGCATGAGCGGCCACAAAGGTCGGCTTCTTGTTAAGGAACTGAATGGGCGTTTCCGAAAATGGGGACCCTAATATGGGACCCTAAATAGTAAGATCCCGATTATAAGGACCCCAAGATAAGGTACCCACTATTTTTGGAAACTCCTAAATGGGGTAACTTTTCCGCAACAAGAACCCAGAAAAAGGGGGCTTCGAACTAATAAGCCTCCCTTTCGGAGGGTCGTGCTAGTGCCAGGGGCTTCGCAGAGCCTGGCCTTTTAGAGGCTCTTGGGTTACTTGGGTTTTGGGCGCTTTGTGGATTGATTTTTTTCGGGTGGATTAGGGTTCAGGCTTTAGGTTTGGAGCTAAATGTGTAGGGGCATGTCCCGTCTTAAAAAGGACTCAATGTAGGCTTGGGATCTGCGGTGAGAAAAAGGCTCAATCATATTTCCTTATCATGGCTTCCCCTGAACACGAACCTCACCTTCAACGTCAAACACTGTGTGCCTGACTCAAGCATAACTATCCCTCAATATCAAAAACAGTCTGCCGCAAATGCAATGGGAGAGCGGTAGTGTAGGGCCCTGAATAATTACCAATACTTTTGGGGCTCCTTATTATAACTATGGTATATCGGGCCCCCAAACCCTATTCTAATAATCAAAGCCCCGTTTCTGAACACTTATAATCTCTCAAATTTTTATTAAGGCCCCTTTTTCGGGGCTCAAGTTATGGATTCCCGAAACCCTAAACCAAAAGCTGCTCCTCCAGCTGGTGCAGGCGGGGCCGGTGCAACTCCTCGCGCAAGCGTTGACTTCATCAGACTCTAGGGTCTGGGGTTGGATATTTCACCTGCGACTACATTGCATACCTAGGTCCATAACTCATCGTCGATTCAGCCTTGAAGCTAGTCAAATGCTTCAGGATGTTTATTGGAGGGGTCAGAGTGTTGCAAGGGCTGTGGTCTGGGAGTCTGGGACCTCATGTTCGGGGGCGATGGGTTTTGCGGCCTTCCGGAAGAAGCCGCGAGACATCCGGATCTTCCCTTCACTTCAAATATCGCATGCTCAGGCACATGGTGCAGCTTGCAAGCTCCGTAAAGGGAGACCACAAGTGGAACAATCGCCCCGCTTCTGGATTTTGACACCTTTGCACATCCTAAACCCTAAACCCTGTCCCCTAGATCCTAGGGTTCCAGTACCTTGCATAGCAAACCAAAAGACCACGCGTCATCTGCCAAAATATCACACAGCCCTCAACTTACGATCCTCAAAACTGCCAACCTTTTGTAATAATAGACTGTGCGATACGATCGGACAAGATAAGATGAGATAAAATGAGAATAAGATGATACATAACTGTTCCTATACTATAGTCTGTTAGGTTATGTCGTATTAGTATATTATGTCATATCATACCAGGTTGATGAACATATGTTTGTATTTTGCTGTAGATAATGTCGTCGTTATATGGCATCATACTGTATACTACATTGCATGAGCTGCCAACCTTACACCTCACCACAGCTGGCCAGGCCTGTGGCGGCTGGCACTGGCACCAGCATGGGCTGACCGGCGCGCGCACCCTCAGGCACCCTCACTTCGAAGAACTGGCCTCGGCGTTTCGGAAGATCCCAGACCTCCGGGAGGATCTAGAACGTAGATCCACTAAGTAATTTGGGACCCTACACTACTAAGGGTACTTTATAGGAACCTCCATTAAGGGATCTACTTTTTGGATCCTCCCGGGGGTCTGGGATTAGGGTTTGGGGATTCCGGGTGCTTCCATGCCATGGGCGTCCTTACACGAGGGATCCTAGTATCGAGAAGGGCCTGAGGGTGTTAGGGTTTAGGGTTTAGGGTTTAGGGTCTAGGGTTTAGGGTTTAGGGTCTAGGGTTTAGGGTTTAGGGTCTAGGGTTTAGGGTTTAGGGTTTAGGGTCTAGGGTTTAGGGTTTAGGGTTTAGGGTCTTTTTTCAGGGTGAGCGGGTCGGAGGCTTCAGGCTCAGGTCTTCGGTAGAAGACATGCGGTTACGAATCATAATCTAGGAACCTGATTAAGAAACCTTGTGCCCTTATTAGGGTTCCTTAAAATGAATCCTACTATTTTGGGTTATAGGCCCAGGGTTTCTTAATCAGGCTCCTACATCATCTGGGTCTCGGCTTGACAGGGTACACTAGGTAAGGATGAGTATCTTCGGGTTCCCGAGGCTGTTAAGTTGCTGCGCAAAGCACACCCTGAACTCCAAACCCAAATCCCTCCATGCTTGCGTGCCCCTGCCAAAGCCGAAAACCCACAAAAACAACCTTGACAGAACAAACTCTTTATAGAACTCAGTACGCCCGTGAAGGGTGTTGGGGGGAAAGAAGGGGAACCTCATATGCAACCCTAAGCCTGAACAGTGGGATCCTGAATATAGATGTCGAAAGGAACGACTAGGTGACTAGGGATCCTCTTGTAAGGGCCCCGAAATTACAAACCCAGTGCACAAAACAAAACAGCTGGGCCATCGAAAGAGCGGTGATTTCACCTGCCGCTTTGACTTCACAACGCCTTGCACACCGAAAAATACAAGCGAGCCATGAAGATCCCAAAGGCCCACAAGCCCTAAACCGTAAACCCTATCATACTCCTGCGATCTACTACGGACCTGGAAAGGTCCTCCAAGTCTCCACGTCTACATGGGAGTTTCTGAAAATGGGGGACCCTCATATAGTACCCTAGATAGTAGGATGCTTATTATAGGGACCCCAAAATAAGCCAGAATATTGGTAAACTCCCACATGACATAACCTCCGGCCCGGCCCTACTTCCTCAAGGCCTCTTGGGAAACCTTGGCCAAATCCGTGGAAGATCGTAGAAGCATAAGGCCCTTATTATGATTGAACGGTACCTTCCCGGAACCCTACACTAAGTGAGACAGGGGCCGGAATAACTAATTAGCAATGATATTCCCTTAGAGCCCCCGTTAAACTATCATGTATCTCAGAATCAGGGGGTGCTGGGTTCTCTACGATGAGCCCAACCCTAAGGCCCTGTTGATCCTCCCCCTGGTCCCTGAAGAGCCAAAGCAGATCATCTAGGATGCCCAGTAGCCTAGGAATGACAAGGGCTCCCTTTTTGGTATTGGGTAACTTTAGCAGGAACCTAGGACTAGAAAAAGGGAATAAGGGTATTACTGGGCACCCTAGCCATGGTAAATCAATATCTTGGGCACCATGCATCACACATGTGCAGTTGTCAAGATCAGGGTCCCTCTTAGGGTCCTTTCCAAGGGTGCCGTCCTTTCGTTGGGACCCCCCAAAGGGACCCGACCTTAGAGAGCTACCCATGATACAAGCGCTTCTACGGACCCGAAACCCTGAACCTAAACCCTAAACCCTACTCCCAAACTGATAGGATCCTTCATACAACCATCCGCAGAAATCAACATGCAACTTCGACGAAACTGAAGGGTGGGTTAGGGTTGCGATCCTAGAGCTTAGGGCCTGGGATTCTTTGCCGGCTGTAGTGCTGATGGTCGTAGTGTAGGAGCCTTTTCAATAATAGAGTTTCGGGGTCCCTTGTACCATATATATATATATATATATACTTATAATAAGGAACCCCCCCAAAAGAGTATTGGTAATTATTCCGGCTCCTATATTTGGATGCTGCAGGGTGCAAGGCTTGCCCATAGGAAGTCCGAGATGCCTTTTACCTTCGGGTGGGGCACTTGGATGACTGAGCCAGCAGCGCCCTCAGGCACCTTTGACAGGTGCGGCATGGGAACAGGGCCCAAACTCCAAAAACCAGAACCCGACAACCTGAACGCCGAAACCCGACGCCCTAAGCTCTCAACCCTCAAAGCAAGGTTTAGGAGTCATAGGGTTTGAGAGTGTAAACCCCGAAATCTGAACTCCAATGCCCTTGTGCGCTCGACCGCAAAACCCGAAACCCCGAAACAATAGACTAGGGATAATTTGAATAGGGTTTGGGGGTATATTGCACTACACATATAATAAGGAACACCCAGAACCCTGTTCTCCGTTACTAAGGCCCCTACATTAGAATGACTTTCATCCACCCCGATCGACAATCAAGCCCTTAACCCCGCAGATCCCTAAACCGCGAAACCTGGGGCCCATCGATCCCCTAAACCCTACACCTTAAACCCTAAACCCTAAACCCCTAAGCTACCCATCCCTTCTGGGGTATATCCTACTATAACTATACTACGGAACCCCATGTGAAAATTATCCCCGATATTACATCCGACCTTGATGCAAATGGTGGGGCCGGGTTCCAGGGGCTTGTCGTCGGCGTCGCGGATGGGAGCACCTTGGAGCCAAGTATTCTTTGAAGGGCTAAGGTCCTGTAATAAGGCAAGGGTGCCCTGACGGATTCAAACGAAAGGCTCTAGACAGGAAGGAATCTGTAATCAAGCTTGGATGACTTCTGACCCCCCCTAGAAAGCAAAACTGCTAGCCTCCATCTCGTAGCAGATGAAGTACCCTTTTGTACAGCTGTTGTGCCGACCCGACCCCTTCAACCCTAGATCCTGAAACACTTATCGGCCGAATTGCGAAGCCTTGCGACTTGGAGAATCCAACACCATACCCTAAACCCAAAAGGCTACAATTGCTTAAGGCTGAACCACTGCATCCCACCGCTTTCAAGCATCGCACTTCAGTCTTTGGATTGGCCTTCCCGAAAACAGGACATCTCCAAACCAGTGACTTTTTGAGGCTGCGCTTGTTGGAAACCCTAAACCGTAACACGTGTAGGATCCATGCACAACATTGCCGCGATGTCCTTCCTCGTCGGGAAGCTTTTAAACTGCAAGACTGTCTCCAAGGCTCCTAGCCTCCGAGCAATCCTCTACGGGTCCATTCCATTGTGTATATGCTCTGGCCTTAACGTACACCTATTGTATTCTATTGGAACTACTTTGAAGTCTAAGTATATATTCTTTGGGCACAGGACCCTTAGGATTCTTCAAGCAAACAAGATAGTTGGGTCTAGGTAGAGATTGTGAGACGTAGCCCGGTGGGCCGTTCTGCTGAAGGGGGGAGCCAGACCGGACTATCTACAATATCGATTTAGGTTTAGAGGGTTAGAGGGTTCAGGGTTTATTCAAATTCTGTTGAGCTCTGCGGCAGCTCCTCTAAACTAGCCGCCAAGTCGTGGCTTCGAACCCACGCCTGGCAAAAAAACGCGCAGGGAGCATCCAGCACACTGCTAGCATAGCGTAGCAGACGGGTGGAGTCCCGGGGTGGCTCTCATATTTGGCTCCCACGGACAACTTCTCTATAATGTGCCCGTCTTCAAACAATGGGGACCCCAATACAGATCCTAAATGACTTGGATCCTTGTTCTAAGGACATCAGATTTAAGGTACCCCTTGCAAGCAAAAACAACATCAAAACCTCCCGGGCATCGCTAGTCCGACGAGAGCAAGTCTCTGACAGGCTGACTTCCTGTTTCTTAGTAGGGAATGGGGGAATGGGTCAAAGGCAGTCAATGAGGGACCTCAGGGGACTGTCATAGGGATCCATTCCCCAACTCCCTACTACGAACCAGGGAGATGTATGACCTGCTACGGCCACTTTGCAAGGGATTAGATTTGCGAATCCCACGTTTGCAGATAGCTAGGCATACACATACAGACATACATACATACATACATACATACACACATGCATGCATGCATACATACATACATACATACATACACACATACATACATACATACATATATGTATATATATAATATAATATAATATAATATAATATAATATAATATATATATATATATATATATATATATATATAGGTAGACATAGACAGAGAAGACCTCACATGCACAGGACGGTTTCCAAGCGCCGTTTCTTCCCATGGTCTCAGTTGGAGACTATGAGAAGCCGCATTGACGGAAGCACCCGTCTACCGACTCTCTGCACGGATGTTGCTATATGGATATAGGTGTACCTGCATATACGATACATGGTTTTACAGGGCTGTAGACCGATGGTGATGGGAGGCCAAAAGGGGGGTGTAAGATTCTTGGGGTAGGGATTCCTTCATATGAACCCTAATATGGGAACGCTAATCCGCACTAAACCCCCATAGGCTAAAACCCCTTTTGGCCTCCTCTGAGATGGTAGCATCTCTAAAGGCGATGCATGGCTAGCTGCGATGCAGCCAGAATCATTAGGTCACCTGTCGCCTGGCACTCTGTCGCAAAGCACTTAACTCCTGCAGCATGACGGCCTTGCTGCGGCCTTCACAGCTTTTCGCAGCCATCGAGAGGATGCCGGAGAAGTTCATGCGTTGAAGTACCTGGTGCTCGAAGATCCAAATCTTGAACTGTCGCGAACACCGTGAAGCCCCCAAACAGCTCAAGCCAACAGAATCTGCTGTCCCTTCGTCCCCATTCCCACACTCGAAATGCTATGCTGAATCATGTCGGGGGTAACTATCTGCGTTTCAAACTCTACAGCGAAAGCCCAATTATGGTGCGGCACCTGTCGCAGGTTGTGAAGCTTGCGAGACTTCGTCTGCAAACGACCTGGGGGAAGTCCTGAATGGACGGAAAGCACCTCGTCTGTTTTGTGCGTAGGTTTCCAGTTTAAGGGGTGTTGGGTTTCATGGGTCATGGGCTTGGGGTTTCGGGATTTGGGCTTAGATCTGGGCTTTGGAGCTTTCGGGGTCTGTAGTTGAAGCCCATGGAGCTCCTACGATGACAGCAAGCCGCAGTAAATCGACCGAGGCACTGCGACCACAAAGCTCCCACCATCGAGTTCTTCTTGCTCGGCACGCTCCCGAAGTAGATCGGCTAGAAGACCCAGTAGCTCTGGCCTGGGCATCGTGCTCATCAGAAGCCGCTGCTTCTTGTCCGGCTTAGGGTCCTCGTGCTGGTAGTGGCAAAAGCCGCAGGCCGAACCTCTCTGGCAGTGCCCGCGGCGTGCAACGGAAACGCATGGTTTGCTGCACAAGGCCGGATGTCCGACACTGCCCCGACTTGGGACCGGTGCATCCAGGACCGTCGCGCTCTGCCCTTGCCGCAAAGTGCGAAGATGACGATGTGCCCATACGTCCTGAGCGAGAGGCTCCGGGCTGGCCGACATCCGCGTGGGGGAGAGGCTACGAGCCCGAGCACGAGGATCTGCACCATCCTTGCCATCCATCACGTCAAGGAAGGTACGGCGGTACGCAAGTTGAGCTTGGACCATGGCTCTGGCTTGGTTGATTCAGACCGTTTTTCTACGATGTAGGGGCTGAGCAGCTTTCAGCAGGCTGCGGGTAGTGGGGGTTCCGAGAGATTTCGGGAGCCTAACTCTCTAAACTCCAAACCTTGCATCCTGCCCTCTGCCTTAGCCTTGTAGGGGTTCCACGCCCGCAGTTCGCGACGGAAGCTGCCAACCGCTTGGCTTCAGAAGCTCCTCTCTGTATCCGATCCTTGGCCCCAAGCCCAGAGAGCCCAATACCCCTTAATTAAGGAATACACCTTAAATTATAAGGGGGCGCATGATATGATTTAAGCCATATTCCTTAATTAAGGGGTATTGGGCTCTCTGGGAGCCTTCCAACCTGAAGTACTGAGATCGACCAGCCCGCACCCCCGAACTCCTAACATTCGCGACACTTCGCCGCAATCACCACAAACCAAACCCTGAACCCGAACTCTTAAGCCCTGAAACCTCGGCCAAAGGCAGCTCCGCCGCTGCTAATCCCTATTCCGGGGCACCGGGAAGGCGTTTTAATGATTAGAATAGGATTTGCGAGTATAATACTGCTCAGTATATTATACTGCTATATTCTGTTACGAAAAGAAACCGTACTGTTATAGTTTGTTACGACAAGAAACCATCAAAAATAGTACAACATTGATAATTACACAGGCTGCTTATAAAGCACCGAAAACCTTTCAGAATAGTACGCCGTGGCGTGAGCCGGATCCAAGAGGCTAACCTGCTACATGTCGAAGGGCAAAAGTATGCCACACTCGATCATGAATCCCAACCTGCATGACGAGTAACCTGAACGGATTAGCCTTTTGGGTTTAGGGTTTTGGGTTGAGGGTTTAGTAACCTTATAGTAACTCGGCAATTGAAACGGTAACACCATCTGCTATGCCTAATGGTAACTGTGTAGTAACCTCGACTGCAACTCCTCACGCGAAGCTTCCATCCAAAACAGTGGATCCCATCGAAATGCCACTGAAGAGCTCGGCGCTTTCATGCCTCGACACTTGCGGCTGCTCTCAGGGGGTGCCAGAAAGGTGTAGGCAGGGTTCAGGGTTAACAATCTAATCCTGGTAGCGAGAAATTATATACATAAACATGGCGTGCATGTGCGATCATACACTCCCGAAAACCTGTCAGAACTAATCATCTTCATACCGTGGTTTTTTAGCTCTGATTATATGCTCGAAGTCTGCCAAGATTGATGCCGAAAAGAACTCGTTCAGGCACACTACTTTGAAGACCCTGTGCTTGAAACTTCTCTCAAGCTATTGCATGTTCGGCTTCGCGTCCAGGATGGTTCAGGGTGTGAAGCAAAGCCTAAACCCCAACAAAAACCCTAGATCCCTGGACTCTAAACCCCAAAACCTTAAACTCTAAAGCCCAAATCACTGAGCCTGACACCCAAAGCCCTCAACCGTAAACCCAACCAAACACCCATAAACACGTTCCCCCATAAACACGTTCCCCCGTCCAATTGAGGGAAATTAAACTTCACCCCAAAGCGATACCCAGTAACCAGAGAGCCCAATAGCCCTAAATTAAGAAATACAATACACCTTAAATTCTAAGGGACTTCATATGATTGAACACACCTTAAATTCTAAGGCGGATCATATTATTTAAGCTCTATATATTCCTTAGTTGAGGGGATTTGGGCTGTCTGGGTAACCTCTGTAGAACCCCGCCAAGTCGGCTCCCTACCCAAAACTCGGCTAAGCCCCCCAAAGAACCCTGTTACAATTTGTGTTTAACGGGTTTAGGGTTTAGGGCTTAGGGTTTAAGGTTTAGGATTTAGGGTTTAGGGTTGAGGGTTTAGGATTTGGGTGGTCAAAATTATGGTCCCATTTTGGGTACCCTAAATGTTAGGTGCCGTACTATATATAAGGGACCCCAAAATGGGACCATAGTTTTGACAACCAACCGGAAGTAGTTGTCTTAATGAGGGTCCCTTTTAGAAGGGTGCCGTACCATATTGGGGAACTGAAACGGGATCCTAATTTAGAGAACTACCGGTATAGCGGCCTTCATATTGGAATAAGCCCCGGGGGATAAGTGATAAAACGGATTCTGACGGTCTGCATAATGGAATGAGGCTTGGGGAGTAGTATGGAGTAGTTACTAGAGTAGAAACAACTCACAAAATGTTTTAGGGACTTCTGTGGCTAAATAGGGGTCTACAGGAAACCTTGTGTATACTCGGGTAGTCCTCTATATTCCCATGGACGCCAATGGTACACCGGCCTACTGTTCCTTAAACTCTACGTAAGTCTTATGAAACTCGTATCCCAGTTAGCTACTGTAATGGGTCTTCTATAGGAGCCGACACTTATCTTTATCACACGGCCGCCGCGATGCGATGGGGCGGTCGGATCTCGCGAGAGCCTCCGCTCACCAGGTTCTCCTGTTGAAGAAATCACCGTATACCTCTTAACTGGTATACCCTACACTACGGAAGCTTTGCAAGGCTAGTTTAGACAGGGCCTCTTAATTACCCATAGGCCCCAAAGTAGTTCCTTTTGGGATTACCTTATAGGATTCTATATATGCACCCCAAAAAGGAACTACTTTGGGGCCTTAGGGTAGTTCTGGAGTATTATACGCACAACCGTTTGCATTTCCTCTTGTTACATAGCGAGCACTCCTCAGGGGTCCCAACATGCTTAGGCATTAAGTAACCCTAAGGGTCCATGTACCTAAATAGTATATACATTGGCCTTAAAGTACTCCCTATATGGGTACATTAGGCCCAAAGTATATACTATTTGGGTACATGGACCCGGCATTAAGTGGGAGTTTCCGAGAATAGAGGACCCTAATATGGTACCCTAAATAGTAGGATCCTGATTATAAGGACCCCAAATAGGGTACCCCTAATTTTCGGAAACCACCAAGTAGGTTTCGGGGCCAACAGGCATCACCTGCGGCTTCGGCTTTAGGGTGTCGGATTTAAGGATGTCGGGATTCGGGTTCTAGGGTTCATCGCTTTTGCGGCTCACGACCTCCAACAAGCTGAGGAATGTAGGGTATCTTCTCCATAGACCAAGAATTCCCAAGCCGCATAAAATCAAACGGCCACAGGCACATCAAGGAATACACACGGCCGTACCCCCCCACCCTCTCTCCCCCTTTTTTTTTTTGAATCGTTGGTGAACTCTTGTAACCCTGCTTTGCGGTGTTGGTTCGTGGTCCGGGATTTGGATCTAGTATTATCATCATGGTTGGTGTACTCTCCTATCCCCCATTGTGCTATCGCACGGGCAATGTCTCGGAGTTTGGTGCGGCAGTGAGCATCGATGAGGCACCGAAACAGTGCGGTGGCCACGGCGGGGAGTCGCTGGGACAGTGGAGCGGTCAACCAACCACGACAAGGATCACAAATATGTATACATACAATACATATATATATATATATATGCATATATATGTGTGTGTGTGTATGTATGTATGTATGTATATGTATATATATATATGTATATATATATATATATACGTACACACATAAGCATATGGATACACGTAACTATACATGTACATGTACATACACATGCATATATGTACATGTACGTGTATGTATACATACACAAAAATACACTTCTGTATGTATATAATGTATATACGTACACATGCACATACAGGATTGCTATTCTTGGTGGTTCTACATAACCATAATCATAGATCTACACGTATGCGTGTGCGCACATGTGTATGTATCCTCAAAGCCTGGAACCCCTGCAACATCGTATACACAGTCATAAGCCCTGAAGCCTACGCCCCGGTAAACTCGGCTCCTGGGTCATCTTGCTGAAGTTCACCTGCATCTTAAGGCTTAAGGGTTTAGGGTTTAGGGTTTAGGGTTTAGGGGTTTAGGGTTTAGGGTTTAGGGTTTAGGGTTATAGGGATTATATAGGGACGGGGTTTAGGATGTAGGGTCTAGGCATGCAAGGGAATAGCTACATTGGAAATGGGATTCGCGTAGCTCTGTATCTAGAACTTCAAACCACCATTCTTGTTGAACAGCAGATACTCACATTCAGGTTCCCTTCTGCTCGTCTTACGTCTACTTTGGACACTTCTGAGGCAGGTGGCTTACGATGAACGCTCCCTGCAAACTATCCTAAAATCTGCAGACTCAACTTGTTACCTTGTTACACTCCATGTACAGATGTAATCATCGAGACTTCCATCATGGCCCCCACTGAAGTCAGTCAAAAGCATCCAGAGCTCTGAAAAGCAAAGCATGGCTTTGGGACGGCTAATGTGGGGTGTTTTTGATGTTGACTGCAGGCTTTGGAAGCTTTTGGGGCAGGATTTCGAAGTGCCAGGGCTTTTCTGCACGTTCTGCAGGCCATCCAAGTCCGACAGAAATCTCAGCCATCTAAGCGGCCCATCTTATGGGTCTCGTCTCGTTCAAGCTGCATATGCTAACTACTCCTATGCCGCACAAAAGGCATCAAGGTCGCTTGTATACCAAGGGACCGCGAAAAGCAAGGATTTATCAGGCGGCTGAGTGCTGAAACCTGATGCTGACCCTTGTACCCTACCTACCTGAACCCTTCCTGTTGAATCCACCATTCTCTGATATCGAAGACAATCAGGCCCTAAACCATACAAACCAGGCTCGATTCAACTGTGCCGCCCTTGAAGTCTTCAGCCCTTTGCACAGGCCTCGTACTTCTCCTACGGCGGGACTTGGAGGCTTAGGGTGCGATTGCCAGAGATTCTCCGGATGAAGGGGTTTGAGGTCAGGCTCGTAGTATCCGGAGAAATCAAGGATGGACATGAGTCGGAGCGTCTCTGTGATAGTGGCAAATGTTGCTGCCTAGGTCGATTGGCTTCCGAAACCGAAACGGGCTGCACGAACAAAAACTTAAGGCTAAATCATGCGAAGCACTAAATTTCCAACACACCTCAACCAACAGCCCAAGAAAATCGACGAAAGATCCAGCAACCCAAACACTAAAACTCAGAAATCCCTAGAAAAGGCC